ATTTGCTCATGTTTTCCCTGATTTGATGCACAGGCTATGCACGGAATTGCTTTATTTGGCTTCCGCTCTTTAAATGAAAAATCGTAACGATGGTGACCATGGATAAGAATAAATCAACCAACTAGGTGAATTACTAGTTGTATTTGATGAATTTATTATAGGAGGGGGAATATACAAATTGTAACAAAAAATGTGAATTGCTCGAATGAGTAAAAAAAGCAAAGCTCTAATTTTTTTCAGTTGAGATGTGTAAGAGAAAAACGGAAAGATGAATCTTGAAAGGGTAAAAAAAAAAAAGATTGCTGAAGATGAAGTGAAAAAACTTGTAAATGACTTGTTTACTCGACAGTGACGGACTTGGCAAGGTTTCTAGGGAAGTCAACATCAACACCCTTCAAGATAGCAAGGTGATAAGAGAGCAATTGAAGAGGAATGATGTTGAGCAAGCCTTGTAAGCAGTCAGCAGTCTTGGGAACTTCAATAGTCTTGTATGTAGTGTTGGCCAAGTTTTGGTCACCAGCATTGCAAATGATGATGGGGTTACCCTTACGAGCAGTGACCTGTTGAAGGGCAGATTGAACCTTGGGGTAAAGGCTGTCTTGAGTCATGATCAAGATAACGGGCATATGTTCATCAATAAGAGCCAAAGGACCGTGCTTAAGTTCACCAGAGAAGATGCCTTCACTGTGAATGTATGAGATTTCCTTGATCTTCAAAGCACCTTCAAGACAAGTGGCATTTTGATAACCACGACCCAAAATCAACAAACTCTTTTCTTGAGACAAGGTATCAACAGCGAGCTTTTGAAGCTTGTTATCAATGGCCAAGACTTCCTTGATGTGACCGGGTAAGCGGTAAAGACCATCAATGATTTCTTCACGTCTCTTTTGTGTGGAGGTTCTGTCGGCAGACAATTGAAGAGCCATCATAACCAAGGCAATGTATTGAGAAGTGTAAGCCTTAGTGGAAGCAACACCAATTTCGGGACCAGCGTTGATATGGACACCACAGTGAGTTTCACGAGAGATGGAGGAACCAACAGTGTTAGTGATACCAACACAGAGAGCACCACGTTCTAAACAGTAACGCATAGCCAAGATAGTATCGGCAGTTTCACCAGATTGAGAAACGAAGACACAGACATCGTCACGGAAGATGGGAGAAGCTCTGTCCAAGAAGTCAGAGGCGAGTTCAGCTTGGGTGCTGATTTCACAGAGTTCTTCGAAAATGTTACGAGTGGCCAAGCAAGAGTGATAAGAGGTACCACAAGCAATGAACATGATACGACGAGCGCGACGGATGACATGAGTGTAGCCACGAAGACCGCCCAAAGTAACTTCATGGTTTTCAAAGTTCACACGACCACGCATAGTGTTGACAACAGATTCAGGTTGTTCATAAATTTCCTTTTGCATAAAGTGATCAAAAGAACCCTTCATGATCTCAGCTAATTCAATTTCCAAGGTTTGAATAGAACGAGTGGCAGGTGTGTTGTCTTCCTTTGAACGGCGGACACGGTGGATGTGGAGTTCTAATCAATAGAATCAAGGTGAGCACAATTATAAAAATTTTCCATCCCCTATTTCTATTTATGGAAACTTACCACCATCAGCAATGTGGGCAATATCATCATCTTCCAAGTATAAGACACGCTTGGTGTGTTCAACAATGGCAGAGGCATCAGAAGCCAAGAAGTATTCGATAGGTTGAGGCAAACCATCTTCGCTCAAGAAAGCTCTGGATTGAGAGCGGTTCAAAGCAGGGCGAGACATGTCTTGACCTTCAACGGCGGAGACTTTAAAAAAGGGAAATTAATTACTTTTTTTTTTTTAGATAATATCGAGCTGAAACACTTACAATTAGCATCGTTGCCAACGGGGTTGGGGCCAAATTCGACATCAACAAAGTCAACCTTGAGTTTCTTGGCGGTCTTGACACCGATCAAGAGAGGGGAACCACGACGGGTAGAAACAACTTCATTAGGGAAGTACTTGCTCTTGAAGATGAAGGCATAGGAACCTTCCAATTCCTTGACGACGGCTTTGACGAGATCAGTGAAGCTCAAGTCCTTGTTGTGAGAATCAAAGATGTACTTGGTCAACTTGACAACACATTCAGTATCGGTATCGCTTTCAAAGACATAGCCCTTCTTTTCAAGCAAAAGCTTGATTTCCTTATAGTTGGTAATGATACCATTGTGTACAATAGTGAATTCATTAGTGGAATCGGAGCGTTGAGGGTGAGAGTTGATTTGTGAAGGTTGACCGTGAGTAGCCCAACGAGTATGAGCCTAAGGATAATCAATAAGAACACGCACACACGTGCTGATTTATGCTACTTACCATGCCACAATGGCTAATGAATGGCTTATCAAAGTCGAAGGGTTGTTCGTCAACCAGCTTTCTTAAAGCAGCGACTTTACCAACTTGCTTAATGATAACGGCATCTTCATTGTCACCGTCAACAGCAATACCTAAACGGATCACATAAATATATATACATACATAAACACGCATAGCATTGATTCTTACCGGCTGAATCGTAGCCTCTGTATTCTAAACGAGAAAGACCGTTCAAGAGAGTTTCGGTGACTTCACGGCGAGAACGTTCGCAAAGGAAATTGCAATAACTGTAAAAAAGTGAATAATATGAACAGAGTTGCTTAATTGTTTATCTTTACCCAAAGATTCCACACATGTCGAAAAGAGATGTTTAAAGATGAGAAGAAAAAGAGTAGAAAGTCGAATTCAAATTCTATTTTTACTCCTATTTATATGATTGAAAAAGGCTTAAATTCCTTTCCGCGGTTTGACTTCATTTACTTTTTTAGGGTTCCGCGGATATTTTAGGCAGCCTCTATTTTTGATACTATCCAACTAATTTAATTTCCGATTTCGTTTATTTATATCTGGCCAATGATAAACAACCTATAGATCAATGGATGAACAGTGCAAGGAATTAAGATAAAATAAGGGACAGTTATTTTTGGATAGACGGACTAAACACATGTAATTTTAACAACGTGAAGATAAATGAGCGGAGATCAAGACTTGAGAATGTGTGGAAGTAAACCGAAAAAAGGAAATAAAAAGGGTCATCACTCATAAAAACAACGATGCATGTTGCTATGGAAATAGCAGTGGTTGCTTAATATAGTCCCCAGTTTTCCTAGAATTTTGATAGTTTAAGCTTTCTTCACGTGTGAAATCAGGATTTCTCTGTTGTAAACCTGTCCATGTGTGATGCAGCCGATTTGCATTTGAGCCTCGCCCAAGGTTTTCATTTAGTCGAGCACGTCACTTTGTATTAGTTACACTCGGGCAAACACCAGCGCGAATGATAATTCCCTGACGTTGAGGTTTCCTTTTTGTCGTATACCTTCTATACAGAAATTATCGTAGCATAACTTTATTAAAAACATAAAAACTTCCGAGCATTCCACGGCAAGAACAGTATCAACGTCGAATGACATGGTTGTCATTTAAAAAAATAGATGGTAGCTCATCTTGCTCTTTACTACCCATCTCAAGTGCGGTGGTTAAAAAGAATAATGAAAACCAGGGCGAACCGTCACAGTTGAGAAGTAAGGGCTCAGGAGTGATATCGTCTGCCTTTTGATCAGCATTTTAAGGCTGTGTTTTCCATAAAAATGACCCGCGGCAACAGTTAAAATTATTTAAATTATCTACTTCTTAGATCAATGCAAGAACAAATCGCGTTGTAATCTCGGACACTACTTAAGCAAGTGCATGGTATTCGACGTAAATTTTACAATGGTCCTTATAGTACGTGTTTGAAGTTGATATACAAGTGTTTTTTGAATCTATTTGCGTACTGGAATTTAAATGAGATCAAAGCTTAAAAAAATGCAATAGTAGAGATGGTTTATTTACCCTTTTTTTTATGCATAACCTAAAAGCTTCTTGCCATTCGTTTTCTTTATGTATAATTTATAAAATTACTAACAATTATACAAGTTGTTGTAATATACATGCATGATTTTATTTAAAGGTTACTTCCTATTGATATTGACCTAACTATATAAAGTAATCGTTAGCGTTGGAACAGTTTAGGAAGTTTGATTCTATGGTAACTTATCATCCAAGTAACTGTTAAAATAATTCTTTGAAGAGGCGAATTTATTAGACCTTCTTTTCTATCACTAGCTTCCTATGATAAGAAAGTTGACTGGTCGTTATTAGTCGTATTGAGCCGATGGTCCTCAGCAAAATTCCAGTTACTATCGTCAAACACGTAATCTATATATGGAGCTCAAACCTTGTTCTTCTTTATGTGATCAGCCTTAACAACTTCAAATACAGCAACAACCTTCCGTTTCCTAAGAACACAAGAAGTCTCGTTCTTTTTTTTCATCTTGCGTTCTTTTACGTAAAATTGACAAGGCCTCGCTTATTTTAAAATATCATATGAACAGTATAGAAAATGCGCTGTTAAAGCATCAAAGCTAATATCAAAGTCGTATAAGCTAAATCAGCCTTTATTTATTTGTGGAGAGTGCACAGCCAAATAAGCACATCGGCAAAATGGGCTTTGTCTGTGGAGGAGGGGTATAATAAAAACCACGGACCCATTGGATCCGTGGATCAACTGTCTCAATATCACTGGCTCTACCAAGAGCTCTTTTAACAGTGTGCTTGGTTGCCAGACACTCATAGATTGTCCAATCTATCATTTGCTTCCATGCCCAATTTTCCTTGGTCAATTATTGTTTTGTTGTCTTAAGTAGCAGTGTGAGATCAATGGAGTTCGGAATCTTTTGTTTGTCATATGGTATCCTCACTAATGACAAGCCAGAGAGTCAGTTATTTGTAGCTTTAAACCATTTACTATTACTCATGTTTTTATCTTAGTGCTATGAATGGAGGAGAAAAGATATTCAAAAAAAAAATAGACCAGATTACACATAAATAATCATTTATAGAGAAAACAGGAAAAACACTTTAAATCAATATAGTGAGATGGGACTGTATAAGGCTTAAACTAGTACGAGCAAACCTCAAGTGTTAAACATTCAATTCCGCGGTATTATTCCGTTACCTTGGAAGCAGTTATTGCCCTTCTGGGTTTAGTGTAGCTATAACTACACAGGATTGTTTTTTTTTTTTTTTTTCGGTGGATAAACTGGTATTGGATAATGAGGGCCCTCTTTCTTTTGGTTCCAGTGATGGGAACTGTCTTCACCCTCTAAAATCGCTCGACCCCTTTTACCTTCTTCACGTAGCCTAAAAATAATACGCACTAGAATTCAAAATTGTTGCCATATTGCAGTTCCAAAGACAATGTCGAAGAGCTTCAGCTGTTTCAGCCATGGTCTTCAAACAGCTTTACTTTTTGCACCTAAATAAAAAAATAAGCTTATTAGTCTTTTTTTCGACTTGCATATAGAAAAACTTTTACCTTAAATGGCCCTGACATATTACAGTGTGAGATACTTCTCTCTTTCAGAAACTCAAGGTTTTGTGCTTCCTTAAACTTTTCAACCTCACTGTTTTTTATAGGCAGAGCACAATGCGACGCTGTGGCTTCCATCCAATATCAGTAATTGAACTTTTAACTGCTATGACCTTTAGAGGTGGTTCCATGAAGAAAAAAGAAGAAGGAAAAAACGTACAAACAACATTTTTTTATATAGCTGCCTTTTACATATCGTTGATGCAACCAGTTTTTAACTTGGTCAGCTTTGATACAGTGTTTTGCGTTTAAAAGTAGGATTTTTTGAGCTCAATCAGTAGAAACGTTTGGTCATCAATATACAAATCGTAGAAAAATAAATTGTTGTAGTTATGAATTTAGGATTTAATTCCTAATTGAATATTTGCAATATTACTCCCTTGATATTGAAGGTATTATTATTAATAATTTTGGTTTGCTCAGGCAAGGCTGCTTTCTTCAGTATGCATTGTCTTTGTTCTTAAAAAGTGAGCAAGGCCTTGCTCGGCCCGCAAAATATAAATTAAATCCCCGTAGCGTTTTTGACCTGTCAGTTTTTTTTTTTTACTATTTTTTTATCTTCTTCCCTTGTCATAAACAGCCATGGACTTTTCCCGTTTCAACCAAGCAGAGCAAGCTCAAATCGCAGCCATGATTGAGCACAAGCAGGTTATTTGTTTCAAAGAACAACAGTCATTTATATAATGCTAACATTATATAACTAGATGCGTGATTTCATGAAGCTTTACAGCAGCTTGGTTCAGCGTTGTTTTGACGATTGTACAAATGATTTCACTACAAAGTCATTAAATAGCAAAGAAGTAAGACAGATAAATGCTCTATTTTATTGGTTACTAAACAAAAACATTGTAGGAGAGTTGTGTAAATAAATGTGCAGATAAATTCTTCAAGCACTCTGAACGAGTTGGTGCTCGTTTTGCTGAACTTAGTCAAAATGTAAGCTAATCTGTTGATGTAATATATGCTTGCAATAATAACAATAAATAATAGATGACTCCTCCTGGACAATAAAAATACGTACTAGACGATATACACACATTTATATAAATTGAATCAATGATCATTATGACGCTTTTTTTGGGGGTATATATTTCTGCTATTCTTTTCTGATAATCTCTAAGAAGGGAAAAAAAAGGGAAGAGAGAGAGAGAGAGAGGGGGAATAGTGTGAAATAAGAAAAAGACAGGAGGAATCTAAATGTTTGTGTGAATGTATCATGTAGATAAAGGTCTTCGACATGTTGGGCAAGTAGGTTTAGATACATGATGTTGAATCCATGAATGCAAGCATTGACTACCAAAAGAAAGGTTAATATGTTGAACGTAATGATTATAAAAGTGTATTTACAGATGAAACAAGTGTCCGCAGGCAAGCTTTGTTGCAGTCTTCATCTTTTCACGACATATTGCACAATCATCATTTAATTTCGATAACTCTTCAGGTGATGCGTCAACGTATCTAATGACGAGATCAGCAAGATGCAGCAATAAAGAATATATAAATTTACCTTTGTCTGATATAAGCCATCGCCCTCCATCTTTCCCTGTAAATGGTGATCTTGTTATGCAATGTCTTTAATACACTTCTCACATTTAAAAATAAGACAATATCAACTAGCCCAAAGGAGATTCCATGCATCCACTAGGATATATATATGCTTTAAGTATGAAGCGATATTTCATTAGGTTGTACTTACCATAAGCTGAAGATATTGTAATAAGGTGCAAGCCAGTATCAATACATCAGCACTCAATTCTGTATAATAATTTATCCATCTTTTACTTTCGAAGCCATTTTCAATCCATTGATCGAGTAAATGTGTGATATATTTGATAAGAACTTGTACTGTATCTAATACGACAGGCAAAAACTATTACAACAGAGTGTCAGTCTATGATATTAATAGATCACATGCCCCTTACCTCCAATGTAAGAAATGCTAATGAAGTTGGGAATAAATAAAGTGATCCAAGATACCAAATGATGTTACTGAGTAAAATAGTTGATAATAATATGATAATTTTGTAATATTTATGTATCGAAACAAAGGCAATTGTTGTAAGCTATATACAGCTGTAAGCGTCAAGATATAAAGTAGAATCAACACTTACATTATCCAATCGATCTCTACTCAGTAAACTGAATATTCGCATAAATCCTAAAATTCCAATCCACATGGACAACCTTAATATATGTCGCCACACTGGATCCATTACTGCTCCAATGAATATCATTTTAAATAATAAAAAGTTGAGCATCCTGTCATACATATGCTAAACACATTATTAAAACAACTGTTTATCATATACATTATACACATACTTGACTCTCTATTGGCCATAGTTCTCCAAATACCCATTTTATGATGCATCTTCCAATCAATAGCGATCCACAAATACTCATGTTGACATGGGCCTATATTTGAATAAGTATACAGTAATGTATAATGTACATGTTTTTACCAATAAGCTAATCTTTCTTGATTCAACATGGGCAAAATAGGCCATAATATAACTCTTGTTACAAGTGATTGAAGTATTTGTGAATGGCTTTGAATAACATGATACCCAAATATCAGATAGTAAAAATGACTTTAAGGTGATTATAAAGGAGGCAACAAAGCTAACTGTTGATATAGCTGCGTAAGTTGAAATATTGTATTTCATAAAGAAGAAGAAAAAAAAAAAAAAAAAAAAAAAAAGAAAGGGAAATTTATTTACATATAAATCGACTCTAATAGTTCCAAAGCGTTTAACTCGCTTGAGATGATCGGATTCAATTTTTGTTGTCTCTGTCTCGTCTTATGTTCTCTTCTTGGACTCATTAACAACTTGGCATATAAAGCTTCAATGCCAATATCGTGTTGTGTGTTGATGGTATCTATTGTAACAAAGATGAATATCGTATGTCTTTACAGAAAATACCACTTACAATCACTCATATCAATTCCTTTTCCTTTGCTACTCTTTGGTTGATTTCTTCTTTCTGCTTCAAGCCTCTTTTGCGCTTCAAGACGTTCTTTTGTCTTTTTGGCTAGTTTCAAGTCTTCTGTGCATTTCTATATTTGGGCTTTTAATGAAACGCTCTGCATGTGCACATGTCTTTTTACCTGCCAACTAGTAATAAATGTATGGAATATTTTAAAAAATTCATTTGATTGTACAGTCTGAACATTCTCTCCATAGAAGGAAACCGTCTTTTGGAATAATTCATCTGATTTTACTTGTAGTTGCTCTACTTGACTTACTTTGAATTCTGCCTCTGTTTGAAAATGTTTCATGATTTCTGTAAAGGAATCATCGCCTGACAGCACATTAAATTGCTTTAGTCCACCCTTTATTTCATAAAAGTCTGTCATTACTTCAGCCTTGTTTACTTTATAAATGGGTTAGTTTATGTGTATCAATGCTTTGCTTTTTATTTTTACCTTTGCTAGCTTCTTCACAATATTTTAATTCATCTAAAAATTCAAGTACTTTTGGAAAGCTCTTTTCTATAGTTTCAACAATAAAATGAAGTAAAGTACTTGATGTATTACTCGTGCTTTTTGTATCAATAAGCTATTATTACCCCATTAGAACAATAAAAGCAATGATTGCTCATAATTACCTTATTGATACTAGTAATCTTTATACCAAACGCACCTCCTCTACTTGTATTACCATTCATAAAGTTGCCCAAGACTAAAATCATCTGTAGGAGTTTTTTAAACCTTTTCGCATGCAGTAAAGATTCGGATGCTTTCAGGATAAGATCTAATGCCTAGACAAGTATTATATATATCATTCTCTTCTTCTTACTCGATGTTGATTTTTTTTAATACCTTTTCGACACCTTCTACTTTATCCCAGAATACTGTCTTGTAAAGCAAGCAGCTGATCCTTGGCTTAAATTGACTGATACTGACCATTTCCAGCACCAGCTGATCAGGCTTAGACAGCTTCTCAATACTCTCTCCGGATTCCTTGTACTTTTTCAACGCCTCTGCCTCTTCAGTACTTGGTGCAAACTTGAGAAAGTTTTCCAAAACAAGCTCTACTTGAATGTATGGCGAGATGTCCAACACATACTCTGTTAATCGCTTGATTTCAAATTCTTTAGGCAAGCTTGTCAAAAAGATACTCATCGCATGTGCTTTTTTGGGATCCAGCAGTTCGATCGAATCAGTTGCCTTTCGTTTTCGCTTGGTGAGGTCGGATGTCGCTGGCTTTTGGGCAAATGTCTTTTCGATGAGTGTAAAGACATCAGCGTGTGACAGTTTAGAGACAATGGACTGTTGGTTGAACAGTGACTTGTCGACTGAGTCGTCATTGTCAATAACATCATCTTGGTCATCATCTTCTAAATGTTCCCATATGGTGTTTCCAAGCTGTCTTCTGTGGATCTTCTCCCATTCAACAAATTTAAGCTTTTGACGTGGTTGTTGTGTTCCTGCTGCTGGTGCAGGGGGTGCGTTAGGCGCAGGAGGACAGGGAGGACAAGGAGGACAAGGTGTTGTATAGCTTGCTGGTATAGGTGGGGGAGGAGGAGGGATAGGTGAACAAGGCTCTGTATTGGACAAAGAGGGTACAGAAGGTGGAGGAGGAGGCGGTGGAGGGGGCACGTTGCCAGAAATGTTTACAGAAGAAGACATAGGAGGAGGAGGAGGAGGAGGGGGTGGTGGGGGCGGGATGCTGACAACTGGAATACTCGTAGAGGAAGGTGCAGGTGGAGGGGGTGGGGGAGGAGGGGGTATACTGAGCGGTGTATTATTGCTATCATTATCCAAAGCCGGTTGATGAGTTGGTGTGTTGTTATTGTCTGCTTCAAGAGTGGATTCTGTGTTATCTGATTCTAAAGCTGAGGGTATATTCTCATTTGAAGTCTTTTCGGTTGTAGACAGTGACTCTGCAGCTTGTTTGACAATGTGATCAGGGGAAGGTGATGGCGTTGGCAACTCTGTAGGCGTTGATGCTTTTTTGATAGGCGTAAATGATTTTTCTGCATAATTTGGAAGCTGCTTTCTTGGTATCTTGTGTTTGGGCTTACTGTTATTATTATTGTTATTATTAACAGCATTCCCAATCTTTGACTTTAAGGCATCAAATGGTTCGCTCTAAGGATAGCAATAAGTAAGCATTAAATGAGAAATCTAATAAATCTTACTGGCTGAGTGTAATGGTTGTTTTGCACAAGAATATTGACAGTTTCATACAACCTTTGTATTTGACTGTCCATAGATTCTAGGGTCTTTTTATGATCTAGTTCTATATCATCTAGTCGTTGCTGGAGTACAGCGTTGGTTTGATTGGCGATGCGTAAGCTTCGTTCGAGTGCTTCATTTTTTAGCCGTAACTGTCCAACGAGGCCATCTGATGTTTCAAACTGAGTCAAACAGGAGAACAATAAAAGAAATTCATTAAACATTACCTGCCTTTAGATCAAGCTGAACTCTCAGGGCAGCTTCTCTCTCGAGTGCCTGTGCTGCAATTTCTCTGGCCTCATCTGCTTCTTGCAACGCTTCTTCTAGTTCATTCTCCTCTGCAAATTTGGCAATGAGATCCTTGACAGTGACACCATATGTGCTTGTGAAACTGTTGCTGTTTCTGTCAAATGTGACTTGAGAGACAAAGTGCTCGATCAGCTGGTAATATGTGTTTCTTGTCTCTGAATCGCATTGAATCAGAAGCAAGTCTTGCAGTAGTTTTTGAAAATAGTCGTAGGCTTTGGTACCGTTGATTGTAGCTACTATCTTTTCGACGATTTCAGCTGGGTCTGCACTGTCACCAACAACCATATGCGCAATATTATCATTGTCTTCAGATTCATGAAACTCTTCTAATTTGATATTAATCAATTCGTTGTTGAATAACTTTAGCTTTTCCAAGACTTGAGCTAATCCTCCTTGATAGAGTTGGTTACGTAAAGTCATCCTATATTCGATGTCTTGAACTGTATCTGGATCGACAATAGCGTTTATTAATAGTAAGTTTGCCAGCTATCATCTTGTTAGTTCTTTTTCATTTTATTTTGTGACATCTTACCGCATGCTCGGATATGGGTATATCTGTATTCATAGTCTTGTTATGATTGTCTAATATCGAGTGAAATGTCCTCAGCCAAGAGTCAAAGGGGCCATAATCACTTTTGGTTTCTCTGATTGTTTCCATGCCTTGAAGCACTATTGAGTGCCCCTTGGGTTGTTCAAAGTAGCACATGAAAGTCAGTGCATCACAAACTAGTCTTTGTGTTGGTATTGAGGGTGACAATATGGATTGCGTTAACTGGATGATGTAAAACGGATCGCTAATGACCTGTTGTATGCCATACTATGATAATAAAAAGAGGGTGAGTCTTTCTTATTGGCTATATATGTGTGCATGTGGATGTCTACATAGTTACTAAACAACTGTCGCAAGCATTTGATGATTTCAAACTCTAATTGGCATTCTTTTTGATTCCTTTATAATAATAGAGTTTAGACATGGGAGTATATATATGTTGTATTAAGTACCTTGCATTGATCTTGTTGATTAACGCTAGTTCCTCACACAAGGTTCGTATGCCATTTTGTTCAATGAATTCCTGTGCCCATCTACATATATGTTAGTATAAGGGATATGTTGTGTGTGTTTGTATTGATTACTTGATAGGCATTGTCCTTAACCGAACAGATAGATCAGATACTAGCTTACATCGAATTTCCCATTTTGAATCTCTCTTGATAATAGCATTGATATAATAAGAGGGTGTTCTATTAGAATAGGATTCTAGACTAGTGCTATGTAGTGTTCCCATAGAAGAGAGGGCATTTTCGTGGCATAAGATGAACCACTTTTTATCAGAAGGTAAACTTCTGACACTAGCATCACTTGTGTTCAAATTGAGTCTAGTCTACATATAGAATTAATTGTTTGATTATAGATCGTGTTATTAATATTGTTACTGCCGCTTCTTCAAATAGTCTATCAATTTCCTCATTGGTTGGCTTATCTTTTAAGCTATTTAATGGTGACAAGGACGCAATGGAAGAGGTAGATACTAAAATAGGAAAGAGTGAGCCCGTGGTTTCTGTTTGACTATAAACTATTACATTCGTCATTCTGCTGTTGTTGTTGCTGTTTATTATTCTTTTTGCTTTTGAAAAATGACATGAAGAAAAAAAGAAAGCTTACATAACATATAAAAAGTATTTATATATAAAGAGATTACCTAATTTGGTAGATTGAAAACAATAGACAAAAAGTTATTAAAAAATCCAAGGTTAAGCTTTTATTTATCTTCATTATTAGAAGATGATCGTAGAAGATGACCAGAGATGATTTGACACATACTGCTACTAATATCATTGCTTCTCTTTTGAAAAATGACGTGAAAAAATGAAAGCTTGCATAACATATGCTGGACACAGGTTCTCCGCGTTTTTTCAGGTACGCTATTATATGCTTCAGAGGTTCTTGTACGAATATCCTCATTATCTCCAAGCTTACTATATTTAACCTTGTTTTTCACAACTGCCCAAAAACTGTTCTACTTGGATTCGACCCTTTGCCCCTTTATTTTATATATTTGCTCCAGTTGTATCTTCGGATACAGCAAAGGGTTGGCAGTTGAGGTCTTATTGCATTTGATTCTGCTAAACTTGCAATATTGTATGCTACCTAATATCTCTACTAGAATATCACACTATAGAGAATAGAAACATACTAGTAAAGTAAAAAGGGGTCCGATCCAGTTTTCATTGTAACCTCAATCTCCTTTCCGAGGCTTCGCCACACGATAAGTAATCAACAATGAAAAGGTATGTGTAAGCGTCCAAAAAGCGTTTATTTAGAGCATTGTGTGTATATGCTAAAATGTTGTTGAAAAAATGAGAAATCGCCCTCATGACTGTTAGCATAACAATTTGTTAAGTAGTTTTTTGGTTGGAAACTGTTCGTGACCTTGTCTGTTGACGTGTTTGATATAAATCATTATAATACTCTGTCTTACAGTAGAGCATACATTCTACTTTAAATTTCTCTATCGCATCTGATCAAGAGTACTGACAACAATAATAGCATAAATGATCATGCTGACGACATCAAATATCAGTAGTAGTCATAGATTCTCCCATATATAAAACGCTTACGCGTCTTATTTAATAATACTCCTTTTTAATAAACAAACTATTTTGCTTGTCGTCGACTTATTGCTTTTTTTTCAGATAAAAGGTTGAATACAACATCTGTAGTCGCTATAGCTGCTGTTGGTTATTCTTCTGGACTCAAGTAGCTTGGAGTTTCTGGTCGATAACAAATTATGATAAAGCCGCTACAAGGGGTATCCTAGGGCTGAAGAAAGCGCGTGCACATGAGTTTCTGAAGCAAGACATAACCGAAGTAGTGGAGGTTCTTGACCCAAAGGGTAGAAGATATTAAAGAGCCAAGCAGTCAGAAAAAGATTTGAAGAGTGAGTAATCTTAGTTCTCTTATTTATGCCAGTGATTTGTTTCTTTAATAATTCTCATTAACTTTCTACAGAATCTGACAAGGACACCTGCAACTTGCAGTTCGGGACCTTGTATGCGCTCTCAAATACTTTTAGCAGTACGAGAACTCAGCTCGTAGAAGTAAGTATAAGCAAAGAATATGACGCTCTGATACCAGAGTCAGAGTTCGAATGAAATGATTGTGAACCAGTGGTTTTTTGGTCGCCAAAAGCCGAAAAGCATTCTTTGGATTGATAATCATCTACAAATTAATAACCTCATTGTTGTAAATAAGCTATTATTTCAGGCTTACAATTACACACAGCAATAGCATGTTTACCATCTTCTCGCGTTTGCACAAGTTATTCTTTTAATTACGTCTACAGTCAGTAATAAACAATAGACAAAAAGTTGTTACAAATCTAATGTTAGACTTTTATTTGTCTTCGTTATCAGAGGATGACCATAGATGATTTGATGCCCAACGTACAATATTATTTAATATACTACTACTACTACTACTGGTGCTACTACTGGTACTATGTGTGTGGTTACTACTGATGCTATTGCTTCTTTTCTTTTGAGCTGTAAAAGAGGGGACATCATCTATATGTTCACTATGTGTATCCCAATCATCGTCATCAAATTCATAGTCATAGTCTGATTTACTTGGTATATAATCCTGATCTATATCGTCTGTATTCCAATGGATCATCGAATTATTATTATTGTTGTTGTTATTACTTCTACTACTACTACTACTATTATTATTATTATTATTACTATTACTACTGCTTGCATGGTTGATTGCATTTCTATCTTTTGATACACGAATGATATGCTGGACTAGTGCATCCGAGTCTGCACTCTCTGCTTCCCAATCACAGCTATTCTTTCTCTGTTTGGCATGGCTGCTGTTATATCTACGTAATCGATAGTTATAATAACTCGTATCTCCTATTTCGTCGTCTGATGAGGTCGATGACTCGTCTGATCTCGAGCTTGTTTTTAATAAAGTAGGCTCAATTTTCTTTATAGAGCGTATTTTTTGTTGTGATTTAGGTTTCATCATAATAACTTCTTCTTCGTCTTCTTCGTCTTTATTATTATCATCGTCATCATCATCGTCATCTGGTTCATATGAGTCTGTGTCGTCACTTGCTGTATTCTTTGTTTTCCCAGTTAATGCAATACACTGTTCTACATACTGATTGAATCTCAGTTTCGGTTGACGATGGTTTGCGATAACAGAAGGAGAAAATGCGCCTACTTCCTGATTTACTTTAGATATAGATAAACTACTGCTTGTTGATAAATCATCATCTTTCTTTTTAGGATTATTTTGGTGTATTTGCAATTCAGATGCTGATCTTTTCAATAAATCTGACATTGTCACTTTCTTTAATGCTGATTTCAATGGTTTCTCTCGTGGTTCTTGAAGTGGCGAAGGTAATGGTCTGATATGCTTCTTATCTTGTTTCATTACTGTATGCAATGGTCCATAAAGCCATGTTACATCACTATCCTTTAACCTATATTTAAATAGATTAATACAAGATAGGAATATATAATTAATTTCATTTTACCAATTCAATGTCTCTGGACTCACCGTCTTGAGATTATTTCTTTGTTTGGCCCATGTTCTCCATGAGGCATTCTCCAATCGAATACCATTGATAATGTTTAATTTCTGTTTGGTTAATACTCTCCAAGATGCAGCAAGATCCATTTCATCAAAGTTATATGATAAATAATCCACATTCCCTTCTGTATTCTTCACATTGATCGTTGATTCATCATCTGCTGCATGTCTCTTTTTCTGTAGCATGTTTTATATAAATAAAGAGAAAGAAAGAGAAAGAAAGAAAGAGAGATAGAAAATACCTTGACTTTTTTGAAGTTATCAATTTTTTTTTATACATTTATTTATCCGTCTATTGAATTTCCGATGTCATTTATTTCGAATATGTTTTGTGACGATTTAGTTTGAGCTATAAAATAAAAACCAACTGTTTATTTGTTAATAATAATAGATAAAAGTAATGGTAATAGTACCAACTATTCAATTGTTGGCTAGTTTGTGATATGATCAATTATAGCTAAAGAAAAGAGGTGGAAAAAGGGGATGACTAGATTTTTATTTTATGACCCTTTATCCATAACAGCTCACACAGGTATTAAATATATATCACCTACTGAAATGTCTACCAACTTTAAAAGTACCTCCATCTCTATTACTGCTGATTTTGTTTGCCCTACTGTTCCAGATTATGAAGAAAGTAGTCAGGCCATCACTATTACGTCTGATAAGTTTGAGGAATGGTTCAAAAAAAAAAAAAAACGCGTTCACGCATGCTAAGTGGGTATTTAAACGACAATATCCTGTTACAAGCAATCTCCAGTTCATCGGGAAGCTTATTCTTGAAGCTTTGTCAGTTCACACCACCTTCTATTTGTGTGTTCATGTTGGTGTCGATAAGAAGAAAGCCAAGAATAGCACAGGTACTATTGATACTACTAACGTTGTATCTTCTGTAGATAATAATCAAGGTAGTAGCAGTAACGAACTAGAGGTTATGTGTCCTAAGAAGACCTGTATTATTATGAAGTCTTCTATCAAGATAGGTTGCACTGCCAAAATCACTAAACATGTCATGACGGACGGCACAATTCACGTTGAATACCACTGGGAACATCCTGATCACTGTCCTTGGGATATCAAGGAAATTACGGATTCCCGTTTGCCTTTTGAGATCAAACAATGGATAACTGAAATGGCCATCGAAAATGTCGGCTGGAAAGCCATCAAGAAGTTTTTACGTATTGATGACGAATGCCTCATTGAGGTAATGATACTTTTTTTCATCCTTGTATTGTTATTAGACACGATAATAATTTAACTTTCTATAGATTGAAAAGAAGAAATCATTCAGTAGCTTCCCTATGTCACTTTTAATCAATTACCATGATGTAAAGAGTATCATCAATGCTCACATGAACAAGCTATCAAGAAAAAGTTGTCGCGATAAGCATAATTGTGAAAAGTGGATGAAGTATTCAGAAAAGAAAAAAAACTGCTTGACGCTTTTTCGTACCCATGAAAATGATCCGTTCCTAATCTTATGGGTATCTGATTGGCAGAAGAAATTCCTTGAAGAAGCTGAAGAATGGTGTATCGATAGTACTCACAAAACATGCAAGCCTATTACGGACAGCTCCAAAGATAGCTACCTGTTCACTATCGTCGTTCACAACTACACCACGAACAGAGGTCTACCTGTTTGTTTTTTCATCACTGATATGGAAACCATTCCTATTTTGCATCAGTGGTAACCTGGATAAAGACCAACTTCTCTTTGAACGCGAAGCGAATTATGATAGATAGTAGTTCTGCCGACAGTTGCAATTAGAGATGAATTTGAAGACTCTGTTCAAATTCTCTTGTGCCATTGGTATATCTGGCGTGCATGGGAAACCCACATCAAGCGAGGTATAAGTTTTAAACGTGGGTTAAATGTAGATATTAAACACCTTGTAACATTTAGGTGAGGATAAGCAAGTCTACTCACGACACAAATCTGGTAAGAGATCGTGGTTGCGCTAATTTGAATAGCATGATGTACTCAGAAACGCCGAAAGCATTTGATCTGGCTTATCAGCTGTTCCTTGCTGAAAATAAGGAATTTGAAGTATTCCTTGCGTACTTCAACAGATTAAGGCTTCCGAGAAAGGAATTGTGGTCCAAAGCGTGGAAACAGGTAATCATTAGTGTTTATTGCTTTATTTTACTAAAAATCTAACTTTTCTGTCTATTTATAGACTGCTTCTTTCCACACTAACAATCTGGTAGAATCGTACCATAACCAATGGAAGACGTTCTATCTTGATCATTCTCGCTCTTTGCGTGTAGATCGCCTAGTCTACTTGTTATCCCAAATGGTAGCATTGGATTATTGGCAGGACATAATCAAAGCTGCGCATGATTTTGATGGGTTTCGCTTGACAGCCAAGGAAGAAAAGAAGAGAAGAGCAGCATACTGCATTGACTACGACATAGCATGTTACATGGTAGAACAACTCGAAGAAAATGTTTACCAGTGCAAATCCTTCACTGAAAACATCCTCTTCTATGAGATGGATACCAAAGAAGGCTATCTGAAGAACTGCAGCTGTCCTGATCGAACAAAGATGTGCAAGCATTTTTTTTTGGTCAGCCGCGTAACCAAGCTGCGTTTTTCTCGTCATGCTCCTGCCCCTGTTGCGCAGTAAGAAAGGTTTTCTGCCCCAAATGAAGACCAAGGCCTTCTTTGCCGTGACCTATTACTTTGGCGTTATTTATCAGATTTGTTTCACTGTATCAGCATGAGGCTCTGTAAGGCCAGCTGTATCAATGATCTGTTAATCTGCCTCATAACGTGGCTGTAATTAAAAGCTCGTTGGTTCCTGAAATAAACTGTGGGGATTTCCTTTTTTGAATCTTGCAGTGTCCTATTGCAGCGCCTCTAGTATTACCCATTTGAATAAAAAATATAGCATAATATTCACCTTAGTAGAAAAGCTATATCGTCTACTCAGAATATATGGAGATGACATTGCTAATATCATATTGTCGAGATAGTCTACTTTAAGAAAATGAGTCATTTCACTGTATCTAACGCAGATGACAACATCACTGTGATAAATAGTATGAAGCCAACACTTGACAACATTACTGTGATAAATAAGCTTTGACACGGCCAAGGATATCAGCAACAACTTTATTTTTCTTTTTTCTCTTACCTTCAATAGTCTAAAAGCTATCATCAGGTTAGTGGGGATAACAGTCTGATGAGAGTTCCTTATAGTTCAAACACTTTATAACCTAGAATGAAACATACTGAACAGAAAAGCTATTTTGATGGCGCTAACATAACAAGGGTTCCAATTCTACGGCAAAACTTGAAGCGTACTGCTAGCGAAAGCTCTGAGAATCCTCCCTTAAAAAGGCCACGTCTTGTACCAGAATCTCCTGAACTCTTATACAACAGCTTCTTGCGTTCTATTCATGATTATATAAAGGCCACCGTTGACTCCACTACTAAAAAAAGCAAAAATATGGAAAGGGATCTTAACAAGTTGGAACAAAAGTTGCTCAATATCAAAGCCTTACCAAGAGGTGTCTTGACACAAGCTGCAACATATGCAAGCTGTACACCTACTGTCCTGAGAGATTATTTGGACAAAAATTCCATAAAAAAGAATGATGTAGTTTTTAAAGAATACGTTGAAGGAAACTTTCATTCTATAGCAAGAGACCTAAGGGAAGAAGTAACAGAAAGGGAACACGACGATACAGAACCCGAGGTTCATTCTGTTGATATAGAGTATAGAACTTGTAGCGTGGCAGTAAATCGCATAATCAGAAACGATCTACCATTAGAGATAAAACAAGCTATTTTGGAAAAACTTGAAAGCACTCTTACGCAAGCCTCTGATTACATTATAAACATCACGTTCATAATGAATATGGTTCTGCTAGAGTTACGAAATTGCGATATGATCACATAAGGCTCTTTTAATATCGCAAATATACTTCCAGATGGCTTTTTACCCAGCCAAGACTATACTATATTGCATACCATTGGCCCTCTTTCCGTAGCAGATCCTTTTACGAAGGACTTTAACATGCTTATGAATCATCAGCACATTGGTTTGATACATTCTTACTACTTTGGCTCAGTTGGTGCGAAAGAGACAAGCCTAAACAAGCATCCGGTTCAGATGGCCATCTTCAAAGCCCTAGAATCATCCGGAATAGAGCGAGGCAAGTTTAAAGAAACAGCATTAAAGTCTCATGAAATGGAAAATGCTCTTGGTAAAGTTACTACAAACATGAAAAACATGTGGAGCACGCCAAAAATCTTCTATGGTTTGATGAACAGCTTGCTGGATGTTTTGTTACGAGTACATTTGACGCCTAACCGAGAGGCCAAATACAGAAGCTATGTCCAGAAAAAAGCATAAGAAAGATCAAAGAAAGACTCGCAACAGTCAGTAGACGATAACAACAGGACATCTACTTTTGCGGATCTGCCTAGGAATGCAAGAAGGAATATTGTACGAGGTGAAGAGTACAAGAAAAAAAGGTACGAAGCAAAAATAAAAAGAAAGCCTGAAGAAGCTCACAAATGGAAAGCTAATGCCGATACGCACCAAAAAAGGATTGATGGATACAAAATGGCTGTTTTGGTAAGATACCTTATTTTCGTGCTACAAGATATTGACAATGTAACGTTCTTGCTTCACAAGCTAGGAAAGTCGAAAGGAGCAACATAACAAGAACTGAGAGCAATGTTACAGGAGAAAGTCAACTCGCCAGTAAAAATGATGACAAGGATGACGTGGAAGAAGAAGAGTTAATCACAGGCAACACCACAGATTTAACAAAAAAGAGATTACGCTGCTTAAAATCTGTTCTGAAAAGCCTACTTCTAATATTCTTCAATAGATCGAGTTGTGACTTCTTAATTGCGGTGGCAGTCTAACGTTCCCGATTTATTTCCTTTTTTCTCTTGCATGGCCACTTCTAGATCATCCAGAGTTCATTCTAGGCATTCATCATCAAAAAGAAGACGCTCAGAATCACCTATAAAATACAAGAAAAAGAAGAAAAGGTTGACGATCACTGTATTTGTATGCACCGACTCATGTGTATTATTCTAGTTATAGCGATAGTGATAGTAGTAGCAGAGAAAGTAGTCCCGACAAAAGACATAAAAGACATAAAAAGCATAAAAAATCGAAAAAGGTATTATCGACTCTCTCTCTCTCCATACATACTTTAGTTTTTAATAATTATAAAACAAGTCAAAAAAGAAGAGCAAGTCATTATCTATTGGTGATCAGTGGGGTAAATATGGTATTATCTATGAGTCAGAGTAAGTAGGCTTTTCTTGTTTATGATACAGCAGACTCATTTTATTATTATTATTAGTATCTTTACAAAGGAACCAGTAAAGTGAACAATGATGAATTTGCTTCAATGCGTATCTATTTACTCTTTGTGCTATAGGAGTTTCAAGCTTGGTTGATCGAAGTCAAGGATGCAGACGTTGAGACATTGAGTCAGAGTAAACGGAAAGAAATGTTTATAGAGTTTATGGAAGATTACAATACTGCGACTTTACCTCATAAGAAGTAAAATAGTCAACAAGTAAGGATGAAATTATTTACCACTTTTTTTTCTTTAGGTTTTATAGTATTGAAAAATGGGAAAAGCGTCAACAGGCAATCAGAATGGGTGAACAGTATGTTGAAGAGACATTTGATTTTGCAAAGGATGAAGAAAGGTTAAGACAACACCATAAACAGGCAGCTAAAGCCGCTGCTGCTTCTCGCCAACCTGCACTTCAGTTATCAGAAGATCAGATCAAAGAACTATCAAGGGTCAACAGAGAGCGTATTGAAGCAGATCGTATGCGCAAGATGGGATTGACGCCAAAGGAAGGCATGGGTGTCCGATATGAAGAGGTTGACTTATGAAAAGCTCAAATAAATAGTTAGTACAAATGAATGTCAATTAAACACGTACCAACCAATGAATGTGGCTCACATAAATATAAAAGAGCCTTATTGTCTATTTCTGTAAGGGCGTAGCATGTAGGCCCTTGATCTTTTTAATGCAGCTGATTTAGGCTAATATCTTTTTTAATAAAAGAAAGAAAGAGAGAAATATATGCTTACGTTTGTAAATAGAAATCAACTTGTGGCCTATTTACGACATACTTTATTTAAGAGCTGTGAAAGCACAATGGGTGCTGAATTGATTACTTGCTTTTTTTTTTTTTTTTTTTTTTTTTTTGGCAACTTCTTTCTCTTTTTCTTTTGAATTTTCCGTTAGCTTTTGCCTTTTCTTATTTCTGCTTATTGCGCTTGGTGTCTCCATGAACAAGCATGTTCACCATTTCTTCTGCTGCTCTTTGCTTGCCTTGATACAAGTAGAAGCAAACTTTTGCTGTTTTGTAATCATAGAATGCGAATAAGGCATCAACATGAATACAAATGTAGTCAATGTAGACGAGATATGCAGTACGTTCAGATGTTTTAGGAGAAGGGATATTAGTTTCAATTTATTTTATACCCTTTTCAACCTTAAGTTTTTCTAACTTTTTAAGGTGCTTGGTTGATCCCGTCATGTGGTAATATTCGGCTGTGGAGCAACATCTTATTTGATGTTTGGTTTTATCCAAGCCAATTGCAGCAGTAAACACGCTCTTTCTCCCAGGGTTTAGGAACATCGGTTGATAATTTCGATTTACTTCTTCCAAATCAAAGTCTTCAAGCTCTAAATCGATGTTTGTTTTAGAAGAGGTATCGCTTGTTGTTCTTTTGCTGAACGCAAAGTCAACCGAAAACCCATCAGACTTGATTGTGTTTGCAAATATGACTTTGTTGTCCTGGTACGGAAGCAAATCATCAACACTAATCATCCTTTTTTATTTATTTTCAAGCTTACCATTGCAAGAGATGCTTTTTATTGCTGCCAAAGTATGGCTCGAATAAGTGTGGCCAACATTTAACTATAACACTCATTTCTGAGTATTGTTTTAAATAATTATCCGAGAACATATGTGGTTTGTAGATGGGGAAACACTACATGCACCAAAAAATACACCAGAAATTAGATTAGATTAGACTAATTCTACGGGCGCTGCCTTTACCCATTACCTATGATGCTTTCGAATAAAGTCTTTGAACGTGTGGCGCCGCGTTAAGCATGGATTTATAAAGCTACCGACTTGGTCTGTTTCTTTTCAAGAAGAACAAGAGATAAAAAAAGAAATGTTGTTATTTCTTTAATTATTTTAATTTTATGTTGTCAGTTTGATCAACAATGATCACTTATGATAAATTCGTACTTGCATTATTCAGCCTATTTTCTGGTGCATGTGGTGTTCATCCTAGAAATATCCATCATGCTTCCCGGAACTTTTAGATTTTTGCCGGACAATTGATCTATTGGCAGAGCAGACAGGAAATAAAGAGGTTCCAGAAGAAGGCCACTCTGGATCTGAAAATATTCAAAAGCTGAGTGATGTGCTAGTCGGCACTACTGAGGTGAAGTTATCGTCCCGCATATCAGCAACTGGCGATATTTATGTTTCAAGATCGCCAATCCGGACAGATTCCCCCAGTGAAGATTAAATTAAGTAAAAGAGCTTCTTAAATGTCATGTATTGTTTTTATGCGTTGAATGAAGTTGTATAATATGGTCAGTCAATATCATTATATAATATCATCTGCAAAACTCCATTTTTGAAGATGTAGTGCTTTAAATATTTTATATATAAGTGGAGTTATCATGTCAGATTGTGATAGTTTCTCTTTGTGGAGCGGAATGTGCTATGTGAGAAAAGATAGCTAAGAAATGAGTCATCAAACAAACTATATACACCATCAGCAGAATCAACAGTAGTGTTTGTGTGATTACACTTTAGCTGACTGGATTCATCAGGGGCAATATCGCCCACAAAGTCTAAAAAAAGAATTGTTTATCTGAGAATAACGTCAGGGACATTGCAAAAAGGTACATGAAAACCGTAAGGAGAAGAAGGAAAGGTCAATTCTTTTTAAAGAACGTAGATCAAAAAGGATAGAGCAAGATGGTTTCATGGAACAACAAGAAATGAAACAATATATTAATAATGTAATGCCGTTCATCTAAAGGGATAGATTAATAGACGCCAATAATCTCGCATAATTCTACATCTTTTTTCAAAGTAAACGTCTTGTTGAAAAAGTATAAAGACCTAAGCGAGGTTTATTATATCAATAACGCACTCTTTATCTCTCTTGGTTTATTATATATTCCATATTTTAGCTCGTGTTTGTATTAAATTAAACTTTGCACGTAATCTACGCATTTACGCATTGCTTGGAAGAATAGAGATCGACGGGACTTTGAAAGCACACGGTTGTAAGGCGATAGATCTGATAGTGACTGCTTATCAACTTTAATCAATCATTGGCCCAAGTTGCTTATCATATAAAGTGTTAGTCATATTACGTCCTGTCAATTTTTATTATTGCTTTTCCACTTCTTAATCATGAACTCAAACGACTGGACACCCACTTCTTGGAAAACAAAGCCTATTGCTCAAGACGTTGTTTATGAAGATCAGGAGCGTTTCAATAAAGTGATCAACAAGTTGAACAGATTACCTCCTTTAGTATCTGCCACAGAGGTAAAAAAGCGTTTTCTCCTTTATGGTTCATATCTCACTATCTTATATTCTTGTAGATTGAAAACTTGAAGAGTCAATTGAAAGAAGCTGCTCTTGGCAACATGTTTTTGCTGCAAGGAGGCGACTGCGCTGAATTGTTTGATTATTGCTCACAGGCAAGTCATTACTTTTAATGAATCATGTCCTTGTCTCATTTTAAAGAACCGATAGGATCCAATTGAAGCCAAGCTCAAAGTACTTCTCCAAATGTCTTTGGTCTTGACTTGGGGTGCACGTACGCCTGTTGTCCGTATTGCCCGTATGGCCGGTCAATACGCTAAACCTCGATCAAAGCCTATGGAAATGTATGAAGGAAAAGAAATTCATTCGTTCAGGTAGAGTGAAAAAAAAAAAAACAAACTAAAAAGAAAAAGAGGTAGTGAACTTTCTGTAATGATAGAGGAGATAATGTCAATGGCTACGATCCTCAAGATCGTACACCAGACCCTGAACGTTTATTAGGGTAGGACACATATACAGGGGAAATAGTGTGACAGCCATGACTGATTAAGTCACATTAGGGCTTATTTCCACTCAACGGCCACTTTGAACTATGTACGTACTTTACTTGACTCAGGCTTTGCTGATTTGCATGAACCTTCCAAATGGAATCTAAGCCATGTTCGATCCGACAGTGTTCGACGAGAATATCAAAACATCGTCTCGCAACTGACAGATTCACTTGATTTCATGAGAACAGTAGGCGCAGATAATGGCGGAGCACCCAGCGCACTAACATCTATCGACTTTTTCGTCTCTCATGAATCACTCTTGCTTGAATACGAGACATCACTCACTCGACTGATGACTTCACCCACCAAGGAGAAGAAATGGTATAACGCGGGCGCACACTTTTTGTGGATCGGTGATCGAACACGTCAGCCAGAGAACGCACATGTAGAGTATATACGAGGTATTGCCAATCCCATTGGTATCAAAGTGGGTCCTTCTACTGCGCCAGAAGACTTGGTTCGTCTGTTGAACACGGTCAATCCAGACAAAGAAATAGGCAAGGTCACGCTCATTACTCGCTTTGGTGCTGATAATGTCGAAAAACATTTACCGCAGCATATTGAGGCTGTGCGTCAGTCAGGTCATATTCCTGTTTGGGTCTGTGATCCTATGCACGGTAATACAAAGACAGCTGCCTCTGGCAAGCTAAAGACACGCCATTTTGTGGATATCATTCAGGAATTATCACAGACGTTTAGAGTACACAAGGAGTGTGGTAGTAAGCTAAATGGTGTGCATTTTGAATTGACGGGTGATTCAGTCACAGGTAAGATTTCCCCCTCTTTCCACTGTTGAACCACACTAACATTTAATAGAATGTATTGGTGGTTCTATGGATCTAACAGATGAAGATTTACCCGGAAACTATCAAACTTACTGCGATCCAAGACTGAATTACGAACAGTCATTGGATGTAGCCTTTTTAATAGCAAAATACTATGAAAATGAAAGACGAGCCAAAGATTTCCCAAATTTGTAAAGTCTAATTTTAGCCAATAAAATGAAAACAAAGTGTGACTAAAATGCGCTGTTTTGATCAATGGCATACCTTTTTTCTGTGTCCGTGGTTCTTTTTCTTTTTTTCCTTCTATTTCTCGTACGTGCGTGTACGTGTGTGTGTGTACGTGTATTTACGCAAAGTTGTTCAAGCATATGTTGATGGTTCAAAGAGAAGTAAAGACAGTGGGGTTGATATTCACTAGAAAAAAAATTGAACGTTCAGGGTTTATCGGCCTAGAAGACTATGCTATGTATGTTTGTGTGTGTGTATGTGCTTATATAACCTTATAACCTAAAAAATATATACATATATAGAAAAAAAAATATTCGTATTGTTCATATCGACCTCTCGATACCTATCGAAGATCAAGGAAATCTCGACCTAATTGTGCACAAAATGACAGACGTTGTAGCTAAAGTAGAACGAGGTGATCAGGAAGCAAAAAGGCTATATGAACGTTTTATTGTAAGTATATTGTAGAGATAAAGTGAGGATGCGCAACTGAATATTCTATATAGACTTATTGCCAACGTCATCCTCATGTGCGAGTTATTGACTCTTGGTCTAATATAGAAAAGGTGTTGGATAGAATGGTCTTGTATCATCACACAGAGCTGTGTGCATCGACAAATATGATAGGTATAGCATGTTATGTTTTTTGTTAGAATATTATACTAATCATTTTAGATGGGAAGCCCTTGTTTTATGTACCAAAAAGTGTAGAGTTAAGCTCTATCAAGGATTGGAAAAAGAATATGGGCATCAGATTTCCTGTAAGTGTATACATTTGTATATTCTGTTTATGTTTTAATTCTTCTTATTTATAGGCAATGTGTAAACGTAGGACGGCATGCTCTTCAACAGAGGCACATCAGATGATCCTTATACCTTCTCCAGATAAAATGTCACAACTAGAAAAGTATATAGAGAATGAACCTGTGATGTTACAGGAGTTTATACAGCATGATGGTGTTATTGTTAAAGTATACGTGGCAGATGGTCAAATAACGGCGTCAACACGACCTTCATTTAAAAATTTAGATACAACTGGGGATGTCGTACATTTTGATAGTCAAACATTACCAAAGAGTTTCGAAACAAAGATTGAATTATCAGATGATTTAGACAAAATCTTCCTTAGAACAAACCCAGGCGATATTCTCGTTCAAAAGGAATCACTACTAGATAATGATCGTTTGAAACAAATAGCAGATGGTTTATATCGTCAGCTAGTAAGTTACACCTACTTTTATTTTGTTCTCATTGTAATTTATTCTTAATTAGGGTCTGACATTTTTTGGATTTGATGTCCTTTTGCAATCAAAGACAAATGCTTATTATGTCGTAGATGTAAACTATTTCCCAAGTATGTGTGATCGCGTATGTTTAAACTACTTTGACTAATACACATCATCTCTTAGGTTTCAAAGACGTTGAAAACTTTCATTCCATGTTTGTGAATATCCTTGAAAAACGATTAACATAGACTTTACACTTTTTGTAATATTATGTATCATATTCTCTCTTTTTGTACTTTACATAAAAAGCCTAGTTCTTTTATCCCCAATTTTTATAACGTAGACAATGACACACATATTTATACAAAAACACAATAAAGGTTGGTGTTTATTTAAAATGCTTAGTGAGCAGAAGAAGCAGCGGCTCTACGGCGGTCACGTTCTTCAGTGATGGAGAGCTTGACACCCTTACCCTTGGGAAGAGAGATCCAGGGCTTGGTACCTTGACCGATGGTGAAGACGTTGGAGATACGAGTAGCGAAGACACGATCGAGAGCATCCTTGATGTGGACGATTTCGAAACCACCAATGTGACGTTCACGGTGAATGAGTTGACCAACACGACCAATGTTACGACCACCAGTAACCATGACAACGTTACCGACGTCGAACTTGACGAAATCTTCGATCTTGCCGGTTTCGAGGTTGAAGCGGATGGTGTCGTTGGCCTTGATCAAAGGATCAGGGTAACGAATGGTACGACCATCATGGGTGGTGATGTAAGGGACACCCTTGGCACCGATCATGACCTTTCTAACCTTGCAGAGCTTGTACTTGGCTTCTTCGTCAGTGATACGGTGGACGGCGAAACGACCCTTGACGTCGTAGACGAGACGGAAGTTTTCACCAGTCTTTTCAACGCTGATGACATCCATGAAACCAGCGGGGAAAGTGGAGTCGGTACGGACCTTACCGTCAACCTTGACAAGACGTTGCATCAAGATGGATTGGACTTCACGACCGTTAAGAGCGTACTTCAAACGGTTACGGATGAAGACGATCAAAGGCAAACATTCACGAGTCTTGTGAGGACCAGAGGAAGGCTTAGGGGCATAGTTACCTAGAAAGTTGATCAATATCCCTAATCTAAATCGAGGCTGTAGTCAATAAAGAGAAAAGAGCGAGCTGATGACACATTTCGAAACATGATGAACAAAGCAAATCAAGATGAGTTGATCCTAAATGCTTCTTTTGCTTCTAAAATGGTTTCGTATCTAACACTCTAACTCTTCATTCACGATCTTCAACTTACCCAAAAGCTTGTCAAGCATCCAATGCTTGGGAGCTGCCAAACGCTTCATGTGTTTCTTAGGACCACGACCCTATAATATAGTCAGTTTATCTCGCTCTCTAGTAAACATCCATCCATCCATCCATCCTCTGTATTCATGACAGAGATGGATGTATGAAGCATTCCATATTCCCATACCATTGTGAGATAATTATCAAAGGGATAAAAAGGAGGGATTCATCGTATTGCTTCCTTCTCTGCTTTTGTTTGCTGGCTGCCCTCTCCCGAACGGACAATGGATTGAGTGGCTGAGCGATAGGCCCAAAAAAGTGAGCATTCTAAGCGGAGTTAATTGACTCTACATATATGGTTCTTACCTTGATTTGCATTAGGTACACCATTTCCGGAAATGATGTATTTGCACTTCTCAGTTCACTCTGAGTCTCTCTTTAAATGTATGTATATGTGTCTGCGTATGATATTATCTTGATTTATACTTCTACTATTATACAAAAAAGAGCCTTGGCGAATTCGATCGTGAATGATATTATAATACTCTTGATCTTTTGATAATATTAGCATTCTTTCTTTATTTCTTCGTTTTATCTTTCTGAGCCGCAGTTAAAGATTTATTACACATCATTACGCAACGCCACAGATGACACATAGATTTATTGACTACAAGAAGACAGATTAGTAATCTTTGTCAAGGATATTTTGAATCTCCGTGTCAAGTATTTAATAGACGGGAAATGCTGTACTTGAGCTGCTTTTGATTCTAAATAGAATGAAAATTACAAATGAGCACAGTATTGCAAGACAAATACTATACTTCAACCAAGAGAACAAACATGCAAAATAAAAAACAAGATGAGGCAAAGGATGAAGCCAAGTTACAAGTAATGTTTTACTTCATTATATCCAAACTCATAGTCTAATATATACATATACATCAGTCAGTGTTTTGCCCACCTTTGGACAGTTCACTTGTTACAGCCATTTGGAACGATACCTTCAACTATGATACAAGCTATGAGATTCTGTCTGCCTTGGCTAAAGAGGCTGACCAAGCACTTGACTTACAGCTCTCAGTGGAGCAACTGCAATTATTGGACATGGATGAGTCTTGCTCAACATCGGCTACGGCCACAACCGAAAACGACGATGATAACGTTGCCTTTTTACTCAACTGCTTTCCAACGCATTCTGTAGAAGAGCTGAAAGATGCCTTGATGAGTCAAGACAATGACGTCGAGAAAGCAACGGACTTATTGTTAAACAGGGAGTTTTTACAGCAAGCTGAAGATGACGATAAAAGAGCCAGAGCTATTTTGAATAAAAAGAAGAGAAAGAAAAAAAAGATTATCATCTCTGGGCAGCTACCGCATGCGAGTTCCCATAGTAACAACAACAATAATAATAACAACAAGGATGATCCATATGAGGAATTGGAAACTGTGCCGTTTAATCATTGGAAACAGTATGACGACATTGCAAAAGTTCTTCAGCCGTATTTTCCTAATATGCCAAAATTCCTCATCACAACCTGTGTGCAGCGTTGCCGTGGTAACGTGATTGCGTCTGTGAAAGCGATCATGGAAAAGGCTCCAGATGAGAAACCAGAGCATGTTCTGAATTGGGAATCGATGAAGGATTTAATCAGCTTGAAAAAGGAGTTAGAGCCTCTCATGGTGGATAGATCGGCAGAAGAAGTACATCGGGTAGCCGTGGGGACGATCATTCATTACCAAGGACAGGGCAAGACCGTTGAGCAGTTGGTCCAGTCTGCTATGGAGCATTTCCTGACTTTTGATATCAGTCAACTCGACCTTGAAGCGCGGCTAGAAAAGATGGCTAAAGAATCTGACATGCTGCGGGCAAAGGCAAAGCAACGCGGCATCCCTATCATTCCAGAATATTTACTTTTGAATAATCAAACAAACTATGTGGAAGATGATCCAGATGAATGTAGGAATATTGCTATGGAGCTTATTATTGAAAGAAACGAATTGTATCGTAAGGCCGCTGCAGCTTACAGAAAGGCCAGGAATAAGGGACCCGAAGGAGGTGTTGCTCTCTATTATTCAGACGTTGCGCGTGAGATTGACAGCAAGGCCAGGGATTGGAATATGAGGGCTGCAAGGGCTACGGTGCGACGAGAAAGGTAATGGTGAATAGAAAGTATGTCACATTGCTCAACTGGATGATCATAGGTTGCGACAAAACGATGATCATTTGTTAGACCTTCATGGATTAACCATTGCGGAGGCTAGAGTGGTGCTTAAAGAAGGCGTGACACAGTGGTGGTCAAGAAGTCAAATGCAATCTGGTGAGTTACATATACATCTTTTGACACATGATTTAACCTTTTCTGGCACATGAAGCGAGACGCTTGATTCAACCATTAAGGATTGTCACAGGAGTAGGAAAACACTCAGAGTACGGTGAATCTAAACTGTTGCCCATGACTCAGAAATTTTTAAGGAGTGAAGGCTGGATGTTTGAAACACCTAATCCTGGTTGCATCCTCGTGAAAGGAATTCAACAAAAAATGGAAAAACAAAATAAATGATTCCTGTTTGTTTGTATCTTTTGATTTTCTTATGCACAGTGCGACTGGTAAATTTTGTCCGTTTTGAAAAGATAAATGGCGATTTTAGAAAAATAAATGTCTTAATTGTATCCTGAACCTTTTCGCCAGTAGGTTTTTTACCCTTGATCCCAAAAGAGATTTTTAGTCTCCATTACCGACCTTTTGGTCTCGTCCGGGCGGTCTTTTATTGCGCTCAACGGGACGTTTAATTAAATAAAATCCGTTAAAAATAAATAAATGACTCACGGCCTCCTAACTTCACACTCTGGAGGAAACCCAGAATAATTGCATCAACAAAACCTACAGCGCTCTAGGTAAAGCGTCCACTAAGGTTATGCTTCATATGTCTAAGTTCCTCCCCATGTCTGAACGAGCAGTGTACTACAGGCACAGTTCGTATTTCGTTCCTTATATTTGCCTGAAGATGCACTACTTACTTGTCTGTTGCCTTATATCCGCAATACCAAAGAAAGCTAGTGGTACGCTCTCTCTCATACATCGCTTTGGAAAACGGTGCTGTCTACTACTGGGAAATCCGACACTCGCTCACTCAAGGCTGCTGAACAACCCTTTTTGCAACAGAATCTACCATCACAAACCATGATAATGGACACCCCCTCTTTCGCAAGGCCCGCCTTTCAGCGTACTTCAACAAACAACGTGCCGAGCAAAAGCTTATTCAAGACTTACGTGCCAAGTTTGGAGAAGACGCCGTGTTTGTGATGGGAAACTGGTCCGCTCCTCATGCTAGGTATCATGAGCCCATCCGTGGCCTTGGTTTCCGAAGACTCTTTGTTGTATTCAGCTTTGTTATTGTAAAAAGGCAGTTAAGTCGATGACTTGCGAATTAAATTATTAAGAGCTAAATATTATTAAGTTTGTGTGAGAGTTTACTTGGGTAGAGAATCTATGACTGCTATTTATATTAATGTTGTCAATGTGATTATTTATCAATGTTGTCAGCACTCTTATTCTTTTCACATGCGATAGAGGAGTGTAAAGTAGAATGTATGCTCTACTGTAAGATTATGTTCGAGTTATTATAATTGTTTATATCAAACACGACAACTGTCCAGAATGGGTTAGGCATTCACATAGCTTATTTGACAGGCAAAGAACATAAAGACCGTGCATTTTTTGACTATTTATTTTTTTGGCCGGAGGATGACTTCATTGAGAGACGGAAAAAGTGTCGCACGATTTCCTATTGGGCGAGACGAGAAATGGATTTTGCTCTCCCCTGAAATGCATGACCATCAAGCAGACAGTTACACTACTTTTTCCATATTTATGGTTTAAGCATAAATATAAGAAACTTTTTTTTTGTTTCAGGGTTCTTTTTAATAAAAACGCGCTCAGGGGAAAGTAAGAATAATGTAATGTATCTCATCGTATGTTAACCATTAGCAAAGCGGAATAGATCCTCTGATTTCTGAGTAATATCTGACTCCAATTTTTCGGCTACCTTTTAAGCTTTTGTTATTTACCCCCAGAGCCAGCAAGCGTATTTTTGGTAGGGTAATAGACGTTTTTTTTTAGCCCTGACCAAAGTTGGTTTAAATAAAGTTCTAAAGTCACGTTTTATAAAAACACTGAATCTGAGCCCACGAATAAGTCACGTATTTCACTCCCAATTTGTTAAACGCAAAGCTCTAAAGGGCAACTTTTTTTTTCTGTAAAATCCCAGAACTGGAAATAGATATAAACAGCATTCTCTGTCACTCTTTCTCTCTTTTCTTTCATTTCTTTCTTTCTCTTCCCCTTTCCTCTTCTTTATTATATTACATGCAAAATGTCACAGCCGCTACAAAACACGCTTTCTTTTCTAAAGACCGGAAATAACTCCAATATCTCTCTGGAAACACCTCGTTCACGATCAGGAAGCATTCTTCGTGCTATTTCTCTTCACAGTAAACAAAGACTTTAAAGTGTAGCTAAAGTAGTTGGCTAACTTGAGTATAGGTAACTCATCTCGCTATGAAGATGAAGAAAGTACATCTTGCAATCCTGAAGACTTTGTAATAAAAAACCCAATAGGTTATTTACGCTTTTCTTTTGTTTTGTTTGGCTGCTAATATCTTTCTGTATAGGCTATGGCTCATCCGCAGTAGTCTATAATGCGATTTATAAACCTAAAAATATGAGAGTTGCTATTAAAATGATTGATCTTGACTTATTTGAACGTAATCAGATTGAAGAGCTTCGAGTAAGTCTCTTTTTCTTCCTTACTAATCCGAGTCGCTTATTAAAAGGAATTACTATAGCGCGAAACGGCACTGATGGCCTTATGCAAACACCCTAACCTATTAAAGGTCTATGGGTCCTTTGTGAATGGTTCTAAACTTTATATTGCCACACCGTATCTATCTGGAGGTAGTAGAGATGAATTGTAAAATATGATATAGAATACTAACATCAGATAGGGTCATGCTTGGATATCATGAAGAGTGGATTCAGAGATGGATTTGAGGAAATAACGATTGCGACTATACTCAAGCAGGCATTGGAGGGGCTTATCTATTTACACAAAAATGGACATATCCATCGTGATGTGAAAGCAGGTAACCTTTTAATGGACGATCAAGGGACTGTTCTCTTGGCTGATTTTGGTGTATCAAGTTCCCTGACTGAAAATAGTGAAATCAGGAAAACGTTTGTTGGCACAGTAAAATATATTCTCCCATTGTTTATTATTATTTTTCATTTTAAGTATATATTATTCTACTTAGCCTTGTTGGATGGCTCCGGAAGTCATGGAACAATCAGGTTACAATTTTAAAGCAGATATTTGGAGTTTTGGTATTACAGCCATCGAACTGGCTACAGGTCATGCTCCCTTTGCTAAATTCCCTCCAATGAAGGTTACATTGATTATTATTTCTCTTAAAAAGGAAAAGTCTCTAATTCTATTTCAATCTCTTTTTTAGGTCTTGATGATGACATTAAACCAATCTCCACCTACGTTAAACAGAGATCAAACTAAATACAAATACTCACGCACGTTTAAGGAAATGATTGACTGCTGCTTACAAAAGGATCCTAATAAAAGGTATACGATTGATATTAGATATCCCAAAGCTAAATGAGCCTCCATAGACCCACAGCAGAGAAACTCATACAACATTCTTTCTTTAAACAAGCCAAAAAGAAGGATTACCTCGTCAAATCTGTCTTGGCATGCGTGCCTCCATTAGATGAAAGACCACACAAGAGGATAGCTTTTAAACAGACTACAATTGAAAACAGTGATCAATGGGACTTTGACGATACTTCACCTCATGAAAAGTCTAGACATATCACCTTTGGGAATGTTATCAAAAACACAGACAAAGCCATCGGTCTACCTTCACCCGCACCCTCAGAGCCCGAGATAGGCTCACCCTCGTTCCATCGTCGATCTCGATTTGTGATTGACGATTACACTCATCCGTCAGATACTACAACAACAACTACAGCTACTACTACTACCAGTACTAGCGCTGGGCCCCATCGCTCAATTTCACCTAACCAATATACCCCTCAGCCTGGCAATAGCTCTCCCATGTCTTCGAGCCCACCTCAGACATGTGACAGTAACAGTTGGCAAAGTTCTGTTGGTTTAGGCTTAGGTATCTCACATCAACAGGAAAATAGCGAAATCAAAAAGGGCAGGTTTAGTGTGAATCAGGCATCAGTCCCAAAACCAGAGAATTTGCCTTTCCTGGCCACTGACCCTTCTCAAGATATTCGTCCTATACCCATGTCTCGTGCTCTTAGCAATGAAAGTACAAGAGGTAAAGTAAATTAGCTTATTTTATCCAGTCACACACGAAATAACCCTTTTTTATTAAAAAGATGGGCGCAAATCCAGGTTTGAAATTCAACACTTGTCCCCTCAGAGCAGTGGTACGACAACACTTGGAACCACACCTCCATACACTCAAGACATTCGTACTGAACCTCTGACAAGAGAAAGTTCGAGCTATCATCAACGATCGTCATCAAGCAGCTCTAGCAAGATTGGTCGATTTTCGATCGAGAAAGAACATACTGCTGATATGGTGCATCCGCATGAAACTAGTGTACAAGAATGTCGTAAGAAGGGAAGATTCGAATTAACAGGCGCACCATTGCCATCAGAAAGATTCGAGTCCTTTGCTCCCACACAACAACCAGGAATGCAACATCATGTGGAGACACTCTTGAAACAATTAGAAATTCAAAAAACAATACTGTTTGACATACTGCACACTATACCAAATAGAAGTAGATCACCGTCTATTGATATCCGCAAGTTATCAAATTCTTCTCTTGATAACAACGCTGAAAGTTATTTTCAACATAAACCTATTGCTGCAAGGTAACAAATGACAGCTATTATGTTATTGTTATTTATATACATGTAAATATAATAGGCCACCTGTACAAAGTTATATACATACAACTATAGTAAGTTAATCAAGCCTAACTTATGGCTTTATTCTAATTCTAGCTTTAGGATCATTTACAACAAGTACTCACCAACGCTCATCAAGAAAAAGAAAGGCTGCTAAAAGAGAATGAAGCATTAAAGATGGAAATAGAAAGGATGAAAAGGCAGCCAACAAGTATATTAAAAACCTCAAATACAACTTCTTCAAGCAGGGCACCCTCTGTGTCGTTTGTAGTGCTAAAAGATACTCAAACTTAACCTTTGTAAATGATGTATTTTTAACAAACAAAAATTGATACCATCAGTTTTTTTTTTTTTGCTTATTGTTTTTAATCGCCGCAGTGTGCCGTCATATAAGAGTGACTTCAACTTCAAAGAGACAGACAAAGAGAAAGAGAGGGACGAGAGAGGGGACACACTTTTTTTTTTATTTTTTATTTTTCGTTTTGAGCATCTAGGATGACCCAGCCATCTACACATAATGATATCACTCTTCATAATCAGCCACCAGACACAATATCTTTTAATACGGATGCAACAGAACAAACAACGATAGTGCCTAATTCACAACCTGTGGACGTTTCAAATATACCATTACCCAAAGACAATTATCAACGTTATTTATCTGTTCAAAATCACAATATTGTCATTCCCTCTTATGCTGCATGGTTCGATATATCGCAAGTAAACACGATCGAAAGACGAGCTCTGCCCGAGTTTTTTAATAATCGCAACAAGACAAAAACACCAACAGTCTACAAGGAATACCGCGATTTTATGATCAACACATATCGAATGAACCCTGTAGAGTACCTTACTATCACAGCTTGTAGACGTAACTTAACAGGCGACGTGTGTGCTATTTTGCGAGTACATGCTTTTCTAGAACAATGGGGGTTGATTAACTATCAAGTATGTATTTACACTCTACTTTTATAAAAAAAAAGTTGACTAACTGCATGCCCTAGGTTGACCCCGATGCTAAACCGTCATCCGTTAGTCCACCTTTTGACAGTCAATTTAAGGTGGTGGTTGTAGATGAAGTGAAGAAGGAAGAGATACCAACAGACATTAAACAAGAAGAACAAATAGAGAATCAAAAGATGTCGATCGTGGATATAGAAAAGGGAAAGATACCACAGACATGCGTGTCATGTCAAAAGACATGTACAGAAGAGCAATACTGTAGCACTACAAGAGACAACTTTTTTCTTTGTCGTCACTGCTACATAGAAGGAAACTATCCTGCGGATTTAAAAGGAAGTGAGTTCATCTATTTCATATTAGAAGAAGAAAACAATATAGATCAATGGACTGAGGAAGAGGAAAGTCTGTTCAAAGAAGGATGTGAACAATTTGGTGATAATTGGGAGAAGGTGTCAGAACATGTCAAAACACGTACACATGATGAATGCATTCTTCATTACTTACAGTTACCCAGCAAAGATCCTGTGGATACTCTCAAATTGACTGATCTAGGATTACTCCAATATGACTTGAATCAGCGAAATGCTAACCCTGTCATGTCAGTCGTAGCCTTTTTATCTTCAACCGTCGACCCAAAGGTGGCAGCAGCGGCAGGACAAATCGAGCCAGAGGTGACAATAGAGGAGAAGGACACAAAGACAACAGAGGATGATAAACCGTCACAAGAAGAGGAGGAAGCATTGTATGATCTAAGTCATAGATTAATTGGAGCCAAACTGTCAAGATTTAATCAACAAATCAGTCGATATGAAGCTTTAGAGAAAGCAGTAGAAGAGCAAAAGGAAGTGTTAGAAAAGGAAAGACATCAGCTTGAACATGAAAGCTTTTCATTCAAGAGAAAATTGATGCAGATCCAAGTAGAAATGGCTAAAAGGACTAAACTAACAGCAACAACAGCGACGGCAGCTGCAGCAGCGGCCATGAATAGTATAACCCCTGCGCAGCTTCAGCAGCAATTGGCAGTTGGAAATATGAATATGTTTATGAATCAACAATCACCACAGTTATTACAACAACAATATCAATTACAAATGCAGATGCAAATGCAGCTACAAATGCAACAACAGCAGTTACACTTACAACAGCAACAACAACAGCAGCAGCATCAACAACAACAACAGCAACAACAGCATCGTGGGCGTCCAACAGGTCAAGGGATCAATACGAACATGATGTCCTTTTAAAAAACAAAGTAATAAAAAATTTAATGTCCGAACAATCGATTTATTTCTCTCTTTCTCTCTCTCTTTCTCTCTCCCACCCCTTACCTTTTTAAGCTAAACCTTGAGTCCATGACAACCGATGACTTCTTAAAAAAAGAAGATAAAAAATACAATAACCAAAGTAAAGAACAGAGCAAACAAATGATTAATTTACCACCAAAGAAAGTCATGGCTAATAAAGTTGCAGCAGCAGCGGCGGCAGCAGCAGCAGCAGCAGCAGCAGTAAACAACGCAGCAATTACGGAAACGGTCACCACAACTACTACTACTACTACTACTACCACAACTACTACGACTCTTCATTCCTCCTCTTCTTCTTCTACGACTCAGCAATCAAACAGTCCTTCTATGAAAAGAAGACTTTCTGGATCGGGTGAGGATAGCCCGGGAAAACGAACGGCAGCATCACCAAAGGGTATTAGATCAATTATCCATTCTGAACGAATGGTTGAAGCTGACATTAAGAATTATCGTACATGTAAGGGAAAGAGAATGCTTACTTAATCAGCTGTCTTATACATTATAGATTTTACTGACTCTGACTCTGACGGTCCTGGCGCTGGTAAAGAACTAAGGGTTGAACTTGAGTATCCGGGATGCTTTGAACGTGAACGGTAATTAGAATGAGTCAAGAAAAGAGTAATATGTTGAACTTTATTTCTTAGGTTTTTACTGCTACGCCCAGTAATAAAGAGTAGTTCTGCAAGAAATGGGGATGAGGAAGAGGACAAGGACGAATATAATCCCATTACTGATTTAATGCGATCATGTGAGCTTATTTACGAATATTATTTGACGGCCAAGGAGCAGGAATTGCTTGGTGATCAGTCTCATGGTATCATGCGCAATCTGACAAAATACCGTAATCGTCGTTCTGCATCTGGATTTGCTCTGGCTATAGAAGATTTTAATAGAGTCATTAGTAAATTGAAAGCACAGGGTGTATTTAATAGTAATGTAAAGAAAATATCCAATCCGAGCTATGACTTGGTCTGTCATATTTTATATCAAGTCTATAGTAGAACGGCTGCACCTATGGCACATGCATTAAATAATTATGAGCGTAATTAACATATGGAACATACAAACATATACAATTCATCATTCATCCACTTACTCCGTTTTTTTTTCTATAGCCTTTTCTGATATGGTTTATGGAGAAGTAAATCCGATTTTAGTAAAGGAGTTTATTACCAAGACAAGAATTCATTCTAGAAGCGTATTTATGGACCTTGGATGTGGCATTGGCAACGTTGTACTACAAGTGGCTGCACAAACAGGTTGTGAGGCATACGGTATCGAAATTAATGAGACACCATGCAAAATTGCAAAGCGTCAATTAAAGGAATACGCTGCCCGTATGAAGTAAGTTGATTATCTATTAAAGTGTATCTATTTACACATTTAGTATAGAGCATGGCGTCTTCCAACGGGTAAAGTGCATTTCCGCTTTGGTGATTTTTTGGATGTTGTAGCCAATGACCTTCATGAAGTGTTTAGAAGAGCTGATGTATTACTTGTAAATAATTTTGCATTTAGCCCAGGCATTAATCAAGCACTGGCGCGACTCTTTTTAGACTTACGAGAAGGCACCAAGATTATATCGCTAAAGTCATTTGTACCCAAAAATCACAAAATTAATCAACGAACGATCAACATGCCAGAATCTATTCTGCGAGTAGAGACATGTGAGTACTTTTCAGAAGCAGTGAGTTGGACAAATAATGGCGGAAATTACTATATCGCAACTGTAGATCGATCACGACTAAAGCCATATTTTGATCAATTAAAAAGGATGAAGAAAAAGTAAAATTGTTTGTTGTATAGTAAATAATATTGTGTTTCCATATCAATTCCCCCCCCCCTTCTCTTTTATTTTTTCTATTGTTTAAAATCATAAAAATAAAAAATCATTTATTATTAAAGAAATGTTTATTTCTTTGCATCTTCTAGTCTCTTTGCTTCAACTTCCTTTCTCTTTTCTCTTTCTTCTTCACTTGGTCTAATACGCCATCCCTTTATTTTACGTCTTGCTAATTTATGGCTTATTTCAGTTGCATCCTTTTCAACATTGCACCACTCAGGCACTTCTGGCCAAACAAATTCTTCATCAAGGGTGACAATAGCTTTCTTATATGCTGCTTGGGCTACTAATTTTGTTCCTCCAGGACCTCTTTTGTAAGTGGTTGGATAATTCATCGTACGCACTTCTTGAATGTTGACATTGTAAATATTTGTCAAATATGAGTGAATGTCGAATTTATTGCAGCTGGGTGGCACTTGGAAGGCAACTTGGTTAGGCTGAAGATTTTTGGATCTAACCATTTTGAAAATGATGTTGGGGAAATATACTTTATCTATATTTTATTAAACAAATGTTTAATAGTCTCCAAGGTGTAATGTATTATTTGATATTACTAAGGCCCTGACGGAATGGGGTCGACATGATCAGCTACTTGATTTGTTAAAGTACTAATAGCAGTAGAAGTGACAAGGGCGAGCTGAATATTTTTACAAAAAATAGCAAGTCACAGCCAACCAAAATAAAAAGTCATCCAATGGAGGTGCATTTACACTATTTCCAGAAAGAGATGTCGCGCTGACTTGTCGCTTTTTCATATAAATTGTATTATAAAATTGTAAAAATGCGACTTTATTTTCTGAAAAGGCTGTACATTTTCGTAACTTACAGTCATTTCAACAAGCAATGTCGCAGCCAGTCAAAATTGATGAAAACGGTGCTGTCTACTACTGAAGAACTCGATACTCGCTCACTCAAGGCTGCTAAACGACGCTTTTTGCAACAGAATCTGGAGAGCCGCCAAGGATGCCGAAACTCCAAATTGATTTCTAGCTGCCGTCGATCAATCTCTCTGGATCCTATACTCTGGTTGCCCATGTCTAAGTCAGAGCGCAGTCGCTGTATACGCCGGAGATTAGGCTGGCTTCCTGGTGGTAAACCTCGACCATGTCCTAAGCATCCAACGCAACAGCTATCTAAAAATCACGCTATTAGTTGCCTTGATATGCATCGACGTTTGCTCATGCCTGAAACAATACGGGATCCATTGTCATTCCTTCTAAATATGCTTCCTTTACGCCCTTCGGTTCCCGCAAACCTAGCCCTTACCTGGTCTCAGCGATGGCCAACTATATGCTCTCTATTACATGAATTAGATCAGCTACACCATAACAAATTGATCCCTACTAAGCACCCCCACGGTCAAAAGCTTCTTGTATGGCTCAATCAATTCATTTAACCTTTCATCGATAACCCTACTCTTTAATTTCCGTTTACATTTTTTACCCTTGTACCCATAAGGGGTTTTTTTCGCTACCATTCACTTCCAAACGGATTGAACGGGTCCGGGCGGACGTTTATTTTATTATTTTATTTTTGCGCTCATTTGGACCATCAATAAAATATCATGTTTAAACAAAAAAAGATATGTCCCCGTCAAAAAAAAGATGTGTCCCATTTCACGATAAAAAAGATATGTCTCATAAAAAAGATATGTCCCATTTCACGATAAAAAAGATATGTCTCATAAAAAAGATATGTCCCCGTCAAAAAAAGATGTGTCCCATTTCACGATAAAAAAGATATGTCCCATAAAAAAGATGTGTCCCATTTCACGATAAAAAAGATATGTCTCATAAAAAAGATATGTCCCCGTCAAAAAAAGATGTGTCCCATTTCACGTTAAAAAAGATATGTCCCATAAAAAAGATGTGTCCCATTTCACGATAAAAAAGATATGTCTCATAAAAAAGATGTGTCCCCGTCAAAAAAAGATATGTCCCCGTCAAAAAAAAAGTTTCGCTGATTATCATCGCAGTATTATCGATTTTGATGAAGTCGATGGTGATCAATATTACATAATCTCTTTGTCTCGACATTTATCCCAGCACTTGTAAGAATGCAAGACAAAACCTTTGAAGTGCTTTTTTTCTACGCTCTTACAGGCTTCCGTAATTCTTTTTGATAAAGTGTCTACCTGCAGAAACCGATGGCGCTTAACCTTACTCTTTACAACTGCTCAGAATTGTTCAATTGGGTTAAGCTCAGGAGAGTAAGTAGGAAGATACACACATTTATATCCTCGATACTCAATATACTTCTTTATGTTTTCATGTTTGTGAATGGGTGCATTATCCATAACTATATAGTGACCTTTCATATGTGGATGTCTGTCCATTTCATCTAGAGTCATTTTTAAGAAGCTAATGTAATGATCCGTTACAGTTCCTGAACTTATATACCCATCAGCCTTTCTCTTCTTAGTAGGTCTTGGTTTTCTTACGCCAACTGCGATCAAACCTGAGGCAGAGATAGCACCCAAAATAGACATTGTGTTTGCTCTCGTTGTAGGCCTGGTAACAATGGCACGCGTTCCTTTTTGGGACCAAGCCCTAGAGCGTTTCATATTGATATCGAAAGCAGACTTGTCAAGAAACACGCAATTCGTCAGGAAGTTCATGTCTGTATTTTCCTATTTACGAACCCAGTCGAACCGTTCCTCAATCTTTGCTGGGCTATTTCTTTCAATAGAATGGAAATCTGCTTTTTTCAACGAAAGGTTGCATTCGCTTCTCATAAAGTTATAAACAGTGCTGCGTGAAACTTTAAGATCACTGAATCATTTCAATAAATGCTCTGTCGCTTCAACAACAGTGGCAGAGGGATTAATATCAATGAAGTTGATAACTACCTTTTTATGCTCTTCAGTAAGAATACACTTGCGACCAACTCTGTTACAATTGTCAAATATGTTGTCAGGGCACATGTTATACTGCTTCACCCATCTCTGCGCCGTTCGAACGTGTATGCCCAATTGTTTCGCTGCAGCTGATGCACTCATACACTTTTCAATCTTCAGATCAAAAAAATCTAACCTTGTCCTGGACGGTATAGCGCACATAATCACGTTTAACATTTGCCTCTTTCATACGAATGTCATCATCTTTTGGTCTATCTATCTGCATTGGGCAAGCGGAAGAAGATTCACTGGAGGTTACATTTTTCAAGTATTCACTATGAGTCGCAATCGCCTCAACAATAAACTCATCCTGATCAACAATATACTCCATGGGCTCAGGGGCGCCATTCTCGTCAACGACATTTCCATGCCCATCTTCGAACAAAAATATTGTACTCATGTTAAATGTTAAATGTTAAAGAATTGAAGAACAAAAAACTTACATCCAAAGAGAAAAGGTCTGCATTCTATATTTTTTTAAATGCCAAGAATCCATTGTGACACGAAGTTGATTCTGATTGGCCAACGACATCGATTTTGATTGATCAGCGACATCAATTTTGACTGGCTGCGACATTGCTTGTTGAAATGACTGTACATAATGAATAACCTATTGTAGTTCAATAATCAAGTTTTAATGATATAAAAAAGTATTATTTGAAATGCAATCTAGCAATCTATTCTCAATTCTAAATTTTACTTTGTTACAGCATCCGGTGTTTGCGATAACCCTTTAATATAATGGGTTGAAGCATCCGGAGTCTGTGCTGAATCTTCCATTGTATGAGTTATTTCTACATTAGATATTTGTGAAGTCTCTGTCGTCTTAAGAACAGTGTATGTGCTATTTGTATTAGCATTGGGGGACAGTACTTGTTGATCTGTAGAATTTCTATAAAGAGATTCTGCTACTGCTGTTGTAGAAAGCGTGTCGAGTTCAAAGTACTGACGTTCGATATTGTTCCAATCCAAGTCATTTATTTCATCCATCACCTGTTCATCAGGATCCTGAACTGATGGTTGCATATATTTCATTGACTTTTTATGATAGATAAGAAAGAACATACTAAAGATTGCTACTACCTGAAGAGAGAAGAATGAGTAAAAGGATGCTATTTTTTTAAAAAAATAACAGACTCACGCCCACAATTGATCCAACAGCTATACCAGCCTTTGCTCCTGCTGACAAAGGTTCAATGTCAGAATGTGGCGCGGAAGACGTCAAGGGACTAGGCTGGTCCAGAGTGGTATTTGTGCTGATTGTGTCAGAATAGTAGTAGTCAATTGGACGTATATTCAAGAGATCAGTTACATTATAAGCAAGCATAGTTGCAGCATAAGTATTACTATTATCCTTTCCAAAAAGAATAAAAAGCGTGGTATTCACTAAAACAGCTGCAAGTGTATAGACTGTCAGTATAGGCTCTTACTGCATAGGGTAGCCCAAATATAGCAGTACCTGAATGGGCAGCTCTTGTAAGGCTACTGCCGTTTGCCTCAACCTTGACTTGTGTCCATGTATTATTATTGAGATCCAGAGTATACATGAAATCAGACACAGCTACTAAAGAGTCAAAATGAAGCTTCTTTTTTTTTTACTTTACGCTTTATACCCTGTTTATCATTTTCACCACCATACATAATGATATGCTGAAAATCAGAAGCTACAATTACGTTAGTATTCTGTAATAGACATTAGAGCTGTACACGTACCAAGCACGGTTGTCAAATGCTGTCTCCTTGAAGGAAATCTGCTACCAGTGGATGCAGTGTAGTTGTTTCGATCCCATATCGCCTTTTTTGTATCGAATATATACCCCCATGTAAGGCTGGAAAGAGTGCAATTTTTATAGTCATTGTTGAAAGGAAACCCAAAGAAGACGTCAATATTATAGACACTACATGTTTTCCCTCCAAAATAATATATGATTCCTGATTTTGGGTTGAACGTTGTTGATTGGCCAATAGGGGTACTGGCAATTGGTATATTGAGTTGCGGTTTAAGGTAAGCCCAAGTCTATCATATATAAGTAAGGACATCTACTATCCCTAAAGGCTACTTACTCCCGATGAAATGTTATACATTGTACTGTTCACATAAGGTACAGTCATTTCCACTACACTGCTGGAAAAGTAGACTCACAATTATTCATAATGTATTGGGATATGCTGAAATGTTTGTTTCCACCTACTTTCGTTTGAGCAGCTTGCCACCAAACAAAACAATAGTGTCATCTATAGCTGAGGGTATACTTACCGCAGTCCCTTCGGATCTAGAAAACCATTGAATATTAAAAAAACCAGTCGATGTCCAAACAGATACCTTGTGTTGTTTTCTCCAGGAAAGTCAGGGAGTTTCTGCCAAGTGTTGTTTTGAACATCAAATACAATGCTATGGTTTCTTATCGGGGTAGAGCCAAAATGAGACCCACCATTAATGACAAACCTTTTGTTGTCAGATAATGCCACAAACTGAGGCTTTTGTCTTGCTTCGGGGTCAAAGCTGTTTTTAATAGGGACCTGCGTCCAGTTTACGTTCATATCTTTGATTGATACAGGATTGCTGCTGTCTAAGCTAAGAGCGTAAACAATTGAACCCGCAGATGTGCCTCCTTGATCTCCCCCATAACAGTAAATATTTCTATTTAGATACACACACGCTGCGCCAAAGATAATTCTGAGTTTGCAGCAACCTTTAGTTTATAGAAAAGTACCTGGGAACAAACGCTCGGGTAATGAAATAGCAGCAACAGTAGCTACAAATACATAGCACCAACTTATAAATAACATGAGCCTATGGTGTATATTCATTCTGTTTAACTGAAAGAAGACGGTCTGCAACCATTTTATACTTGTTTGCACTACAAGTGTAACATTGAGCAGAATTTGATTCTTAGAATAAGGTTAATGTATTACACACAAACATTTGGGCTTTTAGCTATCACACACAGTTTATTCTTATTGAATCAATGATCAAAAAATATCCTCTTCTTTTGCCTTTACCAGTGATAATAGTCAATAGATGTGTATTAATAAAGGCGTACTTGTAACAACAAAAGTAATAATAGTGCATTTTACGTGGTATTAAATAAAATAAAGCGCGTTGTTTATTAAGCAACTTTTTTATAATAAGACAATAGTAGCCTTGATTAACAGGATCAACCACGAGAAGGTAAGAGTACATATGATCCCAAAGAAAGAAAGGTATACACTGAATGCCAATGGCGTATATACCTTATAAAAAGAGGTGATGTATCAAGACTGAACTTATGAATATGAAAAACCTGGAAAGTACAAGCTAAACAGCCCCAGGCAAGTCTGGATTGACACTGCCAACAGGTAGCTATCGATAGGTCCCAACCTCGTCTACCAGTCGTCCCGCAAGCTCAGAAGATGGCCTTGACTCGGCAAACTACCCAAAATAGCTTTTGGTTCGATATCGCCTAATATCAGTATAAGCATTTATTCGAGTAGCCGCACTTAAGAGCATTCCTCTGTTCACAAATAAAAGGGCAAATCTTGTTGTTCACACTCAGTATAGCCAGCCCAGTATCTGCAGCCACTTGAATCACCAACACGACCATACTAGGTTACAGTGTGAACAAAGAGCGTGTTCATTCCTCTAAAGGATGAACAGAGCCAAACACAAAACATCTAATTAATGACTCTCTATTGGCTCATCCGCCTTTGCTTATGTGCATATGATTGTCAACAAAAGGCTTTTTTCCTTAAGCCAGACCAATCTTCATCGTTGGTGATAAGTCATTTATTTCCAGTAATGATGCTAATTGACGCTTTATTCTTGTTTAAGGACAGCATATATAGTGTCTACAATATTTAGCTGAGAAAGTCTATTCTACGTTTCTTATCACTGGATTCATTTGTGGTACGTGCCTACAAACAAATTAGAGACGTACATCCGGTGTTTGTGATATATCTTCTGCCTTATAAACGGTGGAAGTGCTATTAGTAGCAGTATTTGGCGTTAATTGTACCAGACTAAAGGTAGGCCTAGGCTGGTTTAACGCCGGTGGTCTTTTAAGTTCAAGGTGTTCATTTTCAATCTTGTCCCAATCTAAAGCATCAGGATCTTTATATCTTCTTCCTTCTGAGCTTGAATAGGTTGATTGAGCCAGTCTTTTCGCTCTTTTACGATATAATAAGAAAGATACACCAAAAATTGTTGCTGCCTACAAGCGCCAACTCTGTGAATGGAAATCTTTTAACTTCTTTGGTTATACTTACTCCAATGATGACACCAATAGCTATACCAGCTTTCGCTCCAACAGTTAAGCTTTTTGGTGGCAGAGGAAGCTGAGGTATAGTACTTGGCTGTTGCTGTGTAGTAGTATTCTCAATACTAGGAGAGTATTGGTTCAGTAACTGTATGTTTGTCACGTCAGATACATCAAGCGCAATGGAATTAGGAGCTAGTATCCCATAAGTCTGGTATCCAAAAAGAACAAAAAGTGTTGTATTCGCGAGAACAGCTATATGTGTATAAGTTCAACAAGAATGGTAAAATATTAAGCTAGTGTACCTGAATGAAATGCCCTTGTGAGGATCTGACCAACTGCACTCAGATTGACATGTGCCCAGGTGTTGTTATCAAGGTCGAGTGTATAAAGGTAATCAGAGATAACTAAAGAAAGAAAAGTGTCAGCGTAAACTACGTCATGTATATAGAGACTATAATGTACCTTCGTTGTCATTTTGTCCACCATATAAAATAATATGCCGTGAGTTTGGCGCTATTAAAAGGTTATAGACTGAATTAACTAAAAAATCATTGTGCGTACCAAGTACAGTGGTGAAATGAATTCTTGGTGAAGGAAATCTCTCGTCATTTGATGTATAATTGTTCTGCGACCATATTCCATTTTTAGTATCAAATGCATACCCTGCTGTAAAGCTTGAGTAACCAGGTTGAGAATGGTTATCAGTATTCTTTCCTCCAAAAAAGTAAATAATATTAGTTTTTGAATCAAGAATAGCTGAAGCACCCTCCTTAATGACGCACATTGGTGTATTCATTTTGGTTGTAAAATTACCATACGTCTAAAATGTGGCAAGTCAATACAATGATACAGGATGAACAGGCCTTTTAGTTACCTCAGATGTAACATTGTATTCTATTATAAAAGAATTTGCAAAACAGTTAAAAGAGGTACTATACGTTATTCCTCTAAAGAAGAGAACCGTATCACCAAAAGGTAACGGCAGGTTAACTGTAGCCCCATTGTCCCTAAACATTTTTAGATGTCAACTATCTTTTAAGAAAATGCCTTACCCAGTGTCTGTGTGAATAAGACGTGAATTATTTTTAATAGACCGCCAAGTGTTTTCTAGTGCATCGTACATAACTGTATCATTGACTATATTTTGTAAACCAACAATGTCCTGTGCACCTCCTTCGATTAAAAGCTGGTTTCCATTAGAGAGCACTGTAAATTGGGTTTGACACCTTTTTTCAGGATCAAAGTCATTTTTTGTTTTGATAAGCTCCCAATCCAGTTGGTCAAGCTTTTGTGTCCTGCTTAAATTAAGAGCATAAATCGTTGATTCGACATGTGGCAAACTATTTGGTGTTTGATTTCCTCCATAGCAATAGACTTGATTATTTAAGTATGCACACACTATAGAAAGAAACGTCTTACATTTCACCCCTAACGTTTCCTAAGAGCATGTACCTGGGTATATACGGCCTCTCAGGGTTATAGCATCGATTTTCACGAGATGATGCAGGCAAAGCAAAAGTAGACCAAGTATGGGGAAAGTCTGCATACTTTGTGATATTATATGGGGTTTTTATACCTTTATGACTCGGGTTTTTTCTCAGATGGATTATATCCTTGACTATAAGATATGTTTCTGACGTGTTGAAAGGGGAAATAATCTTTTTTAAAATATATGGGACAAAAAGATGATTTTCATTATTAGTATTTTTTTCAAATTAAAAGCAGGATCTGGTGCCACTATGGGCCACAAAAAACCTTCTATGATTCTTGAATAGCTATTCTGCCGCCAATCACACCGTTGCTTGAGCGGAAGAAGAATAAAGGAAGTAATATGCTCTTTCATACCACGTTTTATTTTCTATGCTATCTTCTGGGATGAGAAAACTAGTGATTTTAGCCAATTCAACGTAGTAGGGCGAATGACCACCATACTTTCTCCTTGTACTCCGGCAATGGCGTGATTGGAAGGCAATCATTGTTGCCCTCGATGAAATGGGTGCAATAAGTTGGTTGCTACTATTTTGTAAAAATTCAAAGAAGTATTCTTTTGATTCCTATAAAAACCATGATACTACATTGAATTTTGTATTCTTTTCTTTTGCATTGAATTGACTATAAAAGTTTCTATTAAAACAACTAAAACAAGGGCATCACTATATTACAATTCGCGTAATGCTATCCTCTCTGAGCCTGTCTTTTGCTTAAGCAATTAAAACATATCAAACGAATTACTTAACGAGATCTGGGAACTAACTAGAGAAGAGCAGCTACTTTCATTTTGGCTGAAAAGAGTTAATTTGAAGAAACTAGGAGAGGCATGAACGTCATTAAATCATCCTTTTAGAAGTTGATGCTTTTTTATTTGTAAAATTAAAGAATCTGAACAAAGAAGAGGTTACTGTTTTGTTTTATAATAATGACGCGTTTACATGTAACAAACGCCATCCTAATAGCAACAATCTAACAAATGGTAGAGCCGACATCAGGCAAATAAAAAGAGAAAGATTTCGTAGGTTTGTAGTACCTCTTATTAAATGTTAATATTCAATACTGAAATGCATATATCGTATGTGGATGCCTGAGACGTGCGTCATGGTAACTAGCTTAGCAGGGACCTTTGGATACAATCTTCTTCAGTTTGGCGACGAGACAGCGATTAATGTGTTGTATACATACAGCTATAAACCATTATTCATAAGTTAAAAAATGTTCTCAGTCTGACAATATAGCCTTGATAACAAATACAGCCTTTAGATCACAAGATTATGAAACGCATATAAACAGCCTCATTTTATTCCAATTAATAAAGGCTCGCCAAGACAAGATACTTCTCCTTGTAGGTCGAGCTTTGGCCCTGACAAAACGCCTCTCTAGTCTTTCATACAAACATATATCTTCCAAAGTCTATCGAACAATAAATAACCTAACCTAGTAGGTCAAGCAACTTTATTGGGCACATGCTGAGAAAGACTATCAGGTTCCTCTTTGAGACGCACATGACGGTATTTAACATGTTCAGGGGATACTCTATGATGCTTAGAATAACAAGAAAAATTTATAATAAAATCAATTTCATTATATTTTATTCTTTTGGTATAATCTTGTATGGATTCATGATACCCTTGGGATCAATTACATCTTTCAAACTACGCATTAGTCGAAGTTGTACATCTGACTTTGCTTGATTCATATAGCCGACTTTTGCTACGCCTATGCCATGCTCAGCGGATATTGACCCATTGTGCTTGACTATGTTATGCGTTAATATGTGGTAATCAAGAACACTAAGACACTTACTGGCCCAGTCAAATGCATAATCATCCATCAGTTTCTGTCCATTTTCACTAAATTTGTTTAAATTAGCCATAAGATGTAAGTTCTATCAGCCTCTATCAGTCCCAATCTATATGTATTCATTCTATTTTTCTTACACCATCTCCTAAATGGCCAAATCCTATAAGGTTAGAAAATAGCTTGTCTTTGCCTAACAGTCCCTTTTGGTTGAAATAGTCGCGTGTGTCTTCGATCATTTTGTAAAGAAGTGGTACTTCCATTGAAAAGTCATAAGTCATTGCTGTTCCACTCTTTGCAATTGATTCAGGAATCTTTTCACGCCATGACCAGAAGAAGTCAGCTTGCTTTGTATCCTGTGCTAAAACACCTCCCTTTGCTACGCCTGTGTCAAAAAGTCGTGCTATATACGCGTCCAATTTCTGTTTTTATATATTAATTCCTATACTTCACGTACACCCATATCCCTTTTTACTGCTCTACCTCTTGATCATGGTCTCCGTTGCTTCCTTGTGTTTCAAGCAATGCATAAAAGGCATGCTTTCCTTCTATTGGGTAGCTTACATCACTTATCTGTTGTGACTTTACCACGTCTACACTATCAACATCCCAAAACTCAAAAGCTTTTTATTTCATTCAATCCTCTGTTATTCTCTTATGTCCTAATGTAAAATATACCTGATAGAATCTCTGATAGGTCCTCTTTTGCCATTACAAATGCTTTTAGAACAGTTTCAAACGAATCCAAAGCAACCATTGCTACATTAACAGCCTAAAATGTCATTAGTTTCAAGCATCATACTTAATAAAAAAAAATAATAATATTACATTTGGTAACCTGGGCGTCAGTAGCGAGATACCTGTCACATACCCTAATGTTCCTTCTGCGCCTATAAACAGCTGCTTTAAGTCATATCCCGTGTTATCCTTGCGAAGTGTTGACAAGTTATCTAAAATGGTGCCATCAGGCAGCACCTTTATTATAAACAAACATTACTAATGCCTTCTGTTACATCTCATTAACTCAGTCCACTTACCACTTCAAGACCGAGGACATTACCATGTAAGCTTCCGTACCTCATAAAACGTAAACCCCCCGCGTTTGTACTGACATTTCCACCAATATGACATGATCCCTTTGCTCCCAGGTCCAGTGGTACTATGTAGCCCTTCTTTTCCAGGAACTGGGATAGATTTTCCAAAATGACGCCACAATCAACAACAGCTACACCTGAAACATCATCAAAATGTCTAATTTTATTCATCTTCGAGCTGTTGATGATGATTTCGTCAAAAACAGGTATTCCTCCTCCGCTCACACCTGTATTGCCGCCTTGTGGGACAACAGCCAAGGAACGCTGGTTACAATATTTTAGTATGCTTGAAACTTGCTCTGTTGAAGTAGGAAATAAACATAGTCTTTTATACCAAACTGTCAGTCATGTCAAATTGGTGTAAAATGCCTTTTTTTTTTTCTTACGATGCAGAGCCTCTATACAAGTTGAACCAGTCAGTGTTATGCTGTCTTAGTTCGAGGCTTTCTGGGTCTGGATCATAGAGTATGTTATTTGAGGAGAGGATGCCCTTGAAATATTCAATATCTTTATCTGTTATCTGATATCAATTGTGTGTCAACTCGGTGTTGCATAGGAAATTATCAGACTGTACCTTTGCAAAGTTTGGATTTCGCTGAAGATGGGAATGCTTAAGATGAGTAAGTGGTGTTAAAGTGTTGTAGAGTGCAGCTCTTGAACTGTGGAATAGTCTTTTATGAAACATTTCAAAAAAAAGGAAAAGAGCTAAAAGAAGGTGTTATAGCCTTATAGTATCTTTTTTGAGTGTGACTATGGGAAATGGCATAAGGATACACAATATGCACTGTGTTCCTTAGTCATTATGATCTATTGGATATAGTCTGTCGGCTTTAAGTGTATTTTTATTCTCCATAGGAATGCATAAATTCTGTTCAATCCAACACGTTCTATAGCACTTGAGCAAAGATAAAGTTAGATTATGTGTGTATATCTTGAGAAATGAAAAGGTTTTACATAGAAAGCACATATATCTGCGACCAACAAGATACCTCTGCTTATGTCATGCTGACTCTTACAGTGTTTCGCGTTTTTGAACAAAGATTATTCACGTGTGTAATTGTGATAAATTCGTATTTTATATCAGAAAGAGTGAATTGGACAGCCTTAGGTTAAGCAGAGATTTTAGTAGTGTGAAGTTGTATAGTGACAACATAGGTAGCACCCCAAGGAAGCATTCGTAGCATTAGCCTATTTTCTGGTGTATTTTCTGGTGCATGTAGTGCTAGCCGTTCTTCATTGATCGTGAGGTTATAAATTAAGATATAAAATCTATAGCTACTCATTCAGCTGACAGTAGTTACGGTCAATTCCTCAGCTGCATTCCTATTACCCCTAAGGGCCCTAGTCCAGAATATTGCCCTTCTGACTTGTGTGGGAGAAAGTCAGTGTACATGTACTAGTATATGCTCAGGTTCGTTCTCCGCAGTCATAACCATCGCTACTAAAATCATATTGCTATTTTCGATATAATTTCTCTCACACCTCATCAAATAGAATAAACAATGTCAATTATACATAACAAGCCCTGATGGCTCTCATTATGAATATTATGATGAAAATTTCCTAGTATGTTACTAATGCGATTTCTTCAAGATGCTTTTGTGTAGATATGCTTTGATTGTAACCACGATTGTGCTGCCGTTAAATGAAAGAAGAACTCAAAGCAGCGTCCAGGGTAGGCAAGATAAGACTGAGTAAAAAGACTACAGTATGAGCATTATGACGACAATGGTAGTGACCATGATGACGATAGACATCATAAGAATAACTATCGTGATTAGTATGGAGAAAGATGAAAGAAAGAACTCAAGATGAATCTTGATGAGAGAGGATGTGGTATAAGACAAAAAGTGAGTTATCTTTGTCAAGAACAGTAAGAATCCTGATTTTCGGGTCATCAGTGGTACGCGCTCTTTAATTATCAAGGAAGAGATTAAAGCATCATGTATTGCGCATTTTGGGTAATAAGAGCAGTCATGCACTCTTAGCTATGCATATCAACGTACATACATTTATGCACTGTATTCAATTTGTTCAAATGGTCCCATTATCAGCACACACAATCCTATTTTCCTTGAATCCGTCCTTCTATTTTTGCAAATCTACGCCAAGTGACCCAGTAAACCATTATTTCTGTATCCTGTTCTCATGTAAGTCATGCTGATTATCAATTTTCCCGCGATTGTTAATCTCTGCCTTTCAAGCAAGGATCTACTTGTGATCTATCAGTTGTCTGTGTGTAACTTATTCATTGGGCTCCGTTATCTGTGTGACTTACATTATTCCCCTGAACGTTTATCCTTTTAAAGTTTTTATTCTCTTCTCTTGTACTTTTCTTCTACCTCTTGTCTTTCTCCCCTTTCTTTCTTTTTGTTGCTTTTATATGGCAGAAAGTTCCTACAATAGCGAATATGACAAATTATCAAAATGGAGTCGAGCTCGTCATTCTCATATCGGTGTAGCCTGTGTTGTTGCGCTGACATTGTTTATGTAAGAAAAAAAAAGCTATTTGTTATTCAAAGGGTTTGCATAAATAACATTTCTTAAAAGTGATATGTTAGTCTATGGTGTCGTTATACCATGTCTTCCTCTCATTGTCATTGAACGTCTTAAGGGCGATTCAACCATGGTAGGGTTCTTGTTTGGATGCTATGGTAAATCATAATATGATTCATATGATCCATGTTGATTGATCCCTTTCAAAAAAAAAAAAAAAAAAAGCATTTGGTTTGCTAGTTTCAACGCCGATATTTGCCATATTGTCTGATAAATATAAAAATAGAAGATACCCAATGATTGGTGGTATGCTGGGATTATTCGTATCTACAGCTGCCTTTGCATTAGCAGATACGTACGTGCTACTTGTACTCGCTCGTACAGCTCAAGGCGTAGCTGGGGGTGCCTCTTGGTAAAGAGAGATGGGCATAAATAAATATATAAAACTGATTCGATTCTACAGGACAATCGGTCTAGGCTTGTTAGCAGATGTTTTTCCTACAAAGAAGTTAGGTGTGGTCATGGGAACAGTCCTTACGGCACACACTGTTGGATTTGCCATTGGTCCTGCTGCTGGAGGCTTTTTATACGAGTATGGAGGGTTTGCAGCACCCTTCATATTTTGTGCGGCATTTGCAATTATCAATTTTTTTGCCATTGTTTGGTTGGCAGAACCAAAACACGATCATGTTGAGGATACCTCCGATCACGTTTCACGAGCACAAGAAGATATCGAAGAAAATGAGAGTACTCCGTTGATAAAAACCAAAAAGAACACCCCGGTTACAATGATTGGTCTTTTAAAGAACTGGCGCATTCTCTCTTGCGTACTCTGCACGACCGTAAGTGCATCCGTATTTGCAGGCATTGAACCTGCTTTACCGATCCATTTACAAAAGGAATTCAACGCTCCTGCTTCTACCATTGGCAGTAAGTATAATAGTACAGGTCATAGTGAATGTGAACATCTAATACCTTTCAAATAGTGATTTTTGTCGCAATGGTCGTTCCTGCTTTTCTTGCACCACTTATTGGACATTTATCAGACAAGGTAATTATTGAGCATCATAACACTATTTTCATTCATTTTCACCCCTTCTTCTTTCTTTCTAGTGGGGAAGACAAGCTATTTCAGCTACTGGAATGATCATGATGGCAATAGCAGGCCCATTTGTAGCTGTCCATTACAGTACTATATATTTTGTGATTCCTCCACTCATGTTGTTTGGTCTTTCCAGTCCTGTCACGCTGACACCTGTATTACCTGAGATGGGCGAGACAGTGACAGAAATGGTAAGTTGTTGTATACCATTGTCAAAACAATGTTGTAACATTGATTGTATAGGGCAGTGGCGCATATGCTCAAGGTAAGCAACTATTTGATTAAAGATAAAACAGAGCTCATCCATTTCTAGTTTATGCGCTGTATAACATGGCGTATTCTGTTGGCATGTTTATCGGCCCAGTCATTGCAGGCTATATCATGTCAGTCTCAACATTTGAATCATTGATGCTTTTATTCAGTGCTGCATTACTTGTCTGCAGCCCGGTAATGGTCAATTGGGCAGCCGTTTATCATCGAATATTTGACTTCTTTTAAGGACATTGTTGCACACAACAAACATTATTATATCACATATAGAAAATGAAATCATTATTATAATGAAAACAAAAAACAGTAGATTTGATTCTGCAGTGATTATTGGCTGTTGCAGAGTATAAATAAATAAGGCACGCTTGTCTACTAAACACTTTATCACTCCCCTTACAATGAATATCAAATCGGATACACTTATTTTTCATAAGTCAGTAAAGAATACCTATAGCAACAAATAGCTTGTATAAATTAAATGATTTTTATTCATTGATATATAAAATAGTTTGCCAAATGGATATATAATGCGTAAAGTAATACAAGATGAAAGAGGGGTGGTTTACTATTTCAATAAATAACTGTATTTTACAATTGTTACTGGTCGAGTATATTTCCTTAATGTACAGCAAGTGCAATATTCAAAAATACGACAAGCAGAATCTTTAGGTATAGCACAAATAGAGTTTTCAATCTCTACACAACTTGATACGGAAAGGTTGTTTCAGGAAGTATTTGATATCCATTCTCTTTCATTTTTATGACAAAGTCTTTTGAAAGCTCAAAGACTAGGAAATAGACTGCACCCGATGGCCCAGCTTTTAATAGTCCTGGTGCAAGCCCTTTATAAAGTGCCCTGTATCCTTCTGTTTGTATGATCGTTCTCATACACGAAAATGCTGAGTTTTGCTGTGAGTAAATGGGTATAGATGCTATCACATATTTTGATATATGTGGCCCTTGCACCTGCAGTCGTTTTCTGACGACGTCAAGGGGAAATACACCAGTTTTACTGATGATACCGGCAAGCGATCCACAGATCATGTCGTTTGTTTTGTTGTGTTTATCAGAAATAATGCCTTTTTCCTACATTGTAACATGCTTAGAAATGTTCTCTAGAATAATCAAGTAACAATACCTTTAATGTTTGTGTAAGCGAGCATAAGCCTTCATAGCTGAAAAACATCAGCCCCATATATGGCATGATCTGTGTGATAGAAGAACCAAGGCCACGATAAAATCCTTTGATACCCTCTTTTCCATATATGTCCGAAATGGCATGTAAGATACTGTTGTACACCTGTATAACAGAAAAAAAAACAATAAATAATAGTTCTATTTCTATATTTGTTACACATTTACCTTGTTTGTGCCTTGTACTGCAAATCGAGTTCGTAAAAGGTCAAATGGGTACGTGGTGGCTGTAGCAAAACTACCAGCAACCATACCAGAGACAAATGGTTTTAATGAAGGTGTCAACTGTGTTTTCTGTCATTCACTTGGTCAGTTTCATCAATGTATAAAGTATTTTGTTTTGTATTACTTTTTCCATAAAGGCGTCCATATGAGAGTATGCGTAGAATTGAGATATACCATAGGCCAAATATAGATATTCAGCGGCTACATTTCCTTTGAACAATCCCTAATGTGTGAATGGATATGAGCATCATGATTAAAGAATATTTTTGACTATTTCATTACTCGTATTCCTTCCTCCTTGATAATAGTTTTAAAAGTTGGAAGTATCCCGGAATATTTGGCACTATGTTGTATCATTAGTGATCTTGCAGGTGAAGACTGAATTTGCAGTCTGATTTTGATAACGTCTAAAGGTGAAATGGCAAATCTATATTCTAATGTTAGACTATAAGACAGTATATACATGTATATTTATAATACCTCGTAGCAACACCTGCAATGCCTCCACATAATGCAATTTCATTAGCGTTTAGTTTTGACGAGGTGACATGAGATGGCATTAGAAAAGAATTATGGAAAAAAAAAAAGAGGTAAAAATCGGTTAAGCACTGGAAAAATAAAAAATATTTTTTATCATAAATTCAGGCCTGTGTAACAACAGCAGCAACAACAACTTGCTCCTCTTTTATAAATTGTATCAGAGAGAAACAAGGATTCAATCTCTTTTTAACTCAATATAATCCCTTCCTCTCTCTCTTTCTCTTGTGTATGGCCATTGCATACATATGGTCTTTTCATGGCTAAAGAGTTCATTGATAACCTTAAATACTAAGGTCGGAGATAAAACGTCAAAATGCTTATTTTCCCCCACGGTTCATCGTCCAAGATTGGTTTACCAATCACAATTGTTTCTCCTAGACAAAAATGTTAATCCCTCAAACACGCTAAAAGCAATATCTTAAATGATCTATACAAGTATAAAATACTTGTGTATCAAGATTATAACAGAATAGATCAACTCCAACATTGACTGACGTCCTTTTTTCTTTCTTTTTTTTTTTTTTTTTAAAAAAAACAAGTTGCCAGTTTTCACTAGAGTGATAAAGGCAAAAGATACTCTTAAAGCGAACTAGTCAGCATATGATTACGTAATGGACGATGACTTGCATGAATAAGGAATCTTCTTCGAACTTGCCATTAATAAATAGTCCATATGCATCAACTAGCCCACACATAGATCTATGTAACCAATGCAGTGAACAATGTAAATGATAAAGTGTACTGATTCAAAAGCTTAATAGTATTTTATTTAGTATTTTACAGTTTAATGAATTCAGTTTATATTGTCTTTTAAGTCGACGATGTGCTCGTCGTGTTGTTTGATTTGTTTTTTTTTATCCATCTTTTCTCAAAACTTTGTCGCATTTTAAAAATCAAAATGCTGCTGAAAATGTGGTAAACATAATGATAATAAACTTCCAAACACCCTTTTCCCTTTTATCTTTCAAAGTAGCTAATAGTAATAATATTCAGTTTTTTTAGGGGTGGTGTATCTAACTAAAACAAGTTTCGAAGATTGGAAAACCAAGATGTAGGGTGGACATTTATCACGTTTTCAGCCTTCGCTTCGGCAACATTTTGATATATTTGATGGGTGATGGGTACCTTTATTGTCTTACTTAATAGATAATATTTTATACAATTAGGGATGCTCTTGCAAACAGAAAATTTAATCTTACAATGTTTAAAACTAATTATCCACAGAAACACTGATATTTTTTAATTTAAACAATTCATATTTAAGGGACGTTAGCTTGTTCTACTGTGCTATTGCCATCTTCATTACTACTATCGCTCTCTTCATCGCCCTCCTCTTCCTTCTCTTCCTCCTCTTCCTCCTCTTCCTCCTCTTCCTCCTCTTCTGCTTCATCCTCCGTATAAATGACGGGGGAAACCCATTCTTTCATCTCCAATAATTTTCTGCGTGCTGTCTTTTCTGTAACAATTGTAGTTATTTCATCATTTGCATTGCGTGAAAAATTGTCATAAATATCTTTAATGTTATCCATCATATTCTGAATATAGTGTTGTACTGTTAAGCAGGGATATGTAATTGATAATGTTTTACAATATTTACCATAATAAGTGACATTCCATCAATGATTTTTTTTAAAGCACCAGCTTTTATTTCATTGAATGTTTTGGGATAAGTAATGGAGTATATGTCTTGAAGTACATAAACATTCTTGTCTACAAGTGATAAAGAATATATGTGGCAATTTAGACCCATAACTTGAATTATTGGTATGTGAACTGATTTGATTTTGTGCAAAGGAAGGTAAGTTAAGGTTGAGAGAAGGTGATTAAGATGACACTTGGAGGCCAGAACTGCCTTTAGTTTATCCGAATAATGCTTTTTCTTGTTTGTCGCCTTTCTTTTAGCAAATTCACCACTGGTGGCATCCAACTTGCTTTTATCGAGTTCAACAATGAATCGTATATCAAGTTTTAGTTTTAGATTTGACCTTGAACATGCATTTGATACTGTGTCGCCCCTGTGTCATATATATTAATACGTATAAATCTGCTGTTTGTTTTGTATTTTATAAACTTACCATTGCAAGGAGACGTCTTTGTTTTTACTGAAAAAAGATTCAAATAAATAAGCCCAATATTTTATCACCAATGACTGTTCAGAACATTCATCAAGATATTCGTCGGTTAATAAATGACGTTTAAATAGGTGTTGCTCTAAGCTTAAAGTTTATAACAAAAATCAATCATATGTTTGGTCAACCATTATTCCATACTTACATATATCTATATATATTTTTTACAGCTCTTTCAGTTTCATTGTTAGGTGAGAAATTTTCTACATTTGCAAAGATAGTCTTGGCTACTCGACTGTTCTTGATCTTCAAATAAATGCAAAATAAGCATTAAAATGGTAACAAATTGACTCATTAATTTACCTTTTTGAATGAATTTTCCAAAGAGTCAATATTTATGTTTTCAATTTCTTTTATATCATCATTCCCGTATTTAGCTAATAAAAAGCTTTGAATATGTTTTCCACCAAGCAGTGAAATTTGGGAGTTGTTGCTTGAATTTGATAAATCAATTATAGAGTTTTTGCTCAAACTATATGTAGAGTAAATAGAAAAAAATCGATGAGTTGATTTAATAAAGTTCATTTGCCAAAGTTATCGTATATTTACTCTGCAAAGTACTTTGATTTTTTATCTTTAGCTTTGACTACAATTTCCATACCCAAGCGCAAAAGATTTGCGCCTAACGTTCCTTTTAAGCCAGAATACGTTATACTATCTTTTGCACTTAACTATGAAATAGTTGGGGTATTTTTAAAAATTGTTAAAGTAGATGCATAACGCGTATATGTACTTTAAAAATTTTAGTTTTGCTTGGTTCCATTAATCTAGAAGAACGTCTTTTCTTTCCGGTAATCTATGAATTTATTGTTAAATAGAATCAACACATAGATTCTGACACTAAATATATTTACCTTTCTATCCACAATCGTTTGCTTAATATTAAAACAAAAAAAGTCGTGTTAGCTTACAAGTGCACTTTTGCCCGCTTTTGTTAATATTACTTTTGTTATATTTGCAACGCTTTCTCGTTCGAGACGAATTTCTAAAAGTTTTTTTTCCTTGGTGAGTTTCTCAATCTCCTTTCGCAATTCATCTTCAATAGTTTTCATGGTTTTGAGTGAAGAAATGCGTAATTCTTGGTACATACACTATTTATACATGCTTTTTTTGAATATCGACAATATCGCGAAAAATGACGTCGATTGTAAAGTAAAAAAAAAAAACTCCCTCACTGCAGGAGAACATACCACTCATTTCCCTCTTTTTCTAGTTTGATCATACAAATGTATACACGTAACTGATTGTTGCTATATAAGCATTTATTGTTGTCGTGAATGCACCTAGAAGGAGTTTTGT